TTAACTTTAAATGTGTTAATTTATATTCTTTTTATGATGTTTATGTTGACATTTTCTTTAAATTTGTCATCATTTTATTTTTGTTTTGATGAATTAATTAAAGTTGGTTTGCTTTTTTTTCTTTGAAATTTAAATATTAGAAAATCCGCAAATTTTTGGAAAGCACACTGATCATAATCATTATTTATATTTGCAGGTTGTTTATAAAACGTTGTTTGATTTAAGCAATTATATCATTTGTTTAGATTTGATTTACAACATTCTATTCACCCCCTCTACCTTTTTCCTCTTTTTACCCCCCCCCCNGCACCTCTAGAGTAGGAAACCAATACTGCTGACTGCACCTCTAGAGTAGGGAACCAATACTGCTGACTGCACCTCTAGAGTAGGAAACCAATACTGCTGACTGCACCTCTAGAGTAGGGAACCAATACTGCTGACTGCACCTCTAGAGTAGGAAACAAATACTGCTGACTGCACCTCCAGAGTAGGAAACCAATAATGCTGACTGCACCTCTAGAGTAGGGAACCAATACTGCTGACTGCAGCTCCAGAGTAGGGAACCAATAATGCTGACTGCAGCTCCAGAGTAGGGAACCAATAATGCTGACTGCACCTCTAGAGTAGGAAACCAATATCAATATTTTTTTTTTAATACGACGATTTAGAAGTTCTAAATTAGAACCCATGTCATGGAAAATATAACTATCGCAGGATCACATTCTTGACTTTCAAAATTGATTAATTTTTATCTTTTTTTAAATGAAAAAACTAAATTTATTTTACGGCCTGCAGACCAATACTACACACCCATGATTCCCCTTACAGCGAGATGTTATGCTGATTTATTGTCCCATGGGACATTTGAGTCAACCGACATCCCTACAAGTTTTAAGGAAAAAAAACTGCTCATGCTGCAATTAGTCCTTTGTGGATAAAATAAAAACTGTTTATTCTACAATTAGTCCTATGAAGACGAGCTGAAAAGTGTGTATTCTATAATTAGTCATATGAGGAAAAGATAAAAACTGTTTATTCTACAGTTAGTCCTATTAGGACAAGAGGGAAACGGTTCATTATTTAATTAGTCCCATTAGGACTAGCTAAAAACTCTTTATTCTTTAATTAGTCCTAAGGACAAGATGAAAACTGGTTATTCTACAATAAGTCCTTTAAGGACAATATGAAAACTGTTTATTCTACAATAAGTCCTATTAAGACAAGCTGAAAACTGTTTATTCTTCAATTAGTCCTATTAGGACAAGATAAAAACTAATTATTCCTCAATTAGTCCTATTAGGACAAGCTGAAAACTGTTTATTCTTCAATTAGTCCTATTAGGACAAGATGAAAACTAATTATTCCTCAATTAGTCCTATTAGGACAAGATGAAAACTGTTTATTCTTCAATTAGTCCTATTAGGACAAGATGAAAACTAATTATTCCTCAATTAGTCCTATTAAGACAAGCTGAAAACTGTTTATTCTTCAATTAGTCCTACTCCTATTAGGACAAGATAAAAACGAATTATTCCTCAATAAGTCCTATTAGGACAAGCTAAAAACTGTTTATTTAACAATTAGTCCTATTAGGACAAGATGAAAACTGTTTATTCTACAATTAGCTATTAGGACAAGCTAAAAACTGCTTATTTTTCAATTTATCCTTTGAGGACAAGCTGAAAACTGAGAAGTTATTTTTTGATTCTATCTGACTGGAGACTGCAGGTTATTTCTCCGCAGTTTCCGAACTCAACACTTTAAATCATATTTTAAATATTTTCTATGAAGTAGAATTTTCATGCCAAGAAATAAGATTGTGGAAACGGAAAAAATTGGCAAGCACAAGTTTTGAAATGTTGTAATAAACAGGATGTTCCACTAAACAAAAAAGTAAATAGGACATGTCGTCGTAGGGTGATGTTGCAAGTATGAATTTTTAATGATAATAAGAAAATCGTAGCCTCGGCATTTTAAAAATATTGCACTGCACTTTAAATTTAAACATGAAAAATTAGAATTAATTTTATCAAAAAAAATCTGAGTTTTCCAAAAATAATCATAATTTTCAAATCTAGAAATTTTATCAAGGATCCATTTATAAATATTTATAATTACGTCTATAATAAATTTATCTTAAAAGGTGAAGATGAGCATGATGGAGATTATAATTAAGATTGATCAATTCAATTTAATGTTTCTTGTTTAATTCTGTTTGGAGAGGGGGGGGGGGGGTTTGCAACCACCTCCTTAAACGCCTGTATCTTCTTATCAGTGTTTTTTTTTAACCAATTTATCTGTGTTTATATATTTTACAAATTGTATAAATTGGATGTTATATTATTCTTGAGGTGCAGTAAGGTCGTCAAAAAAAGTCGTCTTCTTTTTCAAATATTCTTATTATTCTTTTATACAGTGTGTCCCTCGAAACATGACAGTTGATGAATAGTTTAAAATGTCTTCTTCCATAATTTGATCAGCTGTTTGGTTCTAAAGAGACTAATAACGTCTTTTATACTATAGTAAAATTGATCACAGTATGATATATATGAGTTAAACTTTTTTTTAAGAAATAAACTGCAAAAGTTTTCAATATCTAATACAGTATGTGGAAGAAGACATTCAAAACTATTCACCAACTGTCATGTTTCGTGGGACACCCTGTACTTTATAAGCATTTCATTTGCAGCATTGTTAAAATATTATTTTTCTCAAAAATAAACATGATTTTTAAAGATACATTTCGATCATTAGGTTTCTGTTCAACTTTTCTTTTGTTTGATGACAAATGCTCTGCAGGAGTCTGATTAAAAAGAAAGCACTATTTGGGCCAGATTAATCTTCAATTAACCAATTGAAAAGAAATTGAGTCTAAAAACTCAAATTTTCTAAATTTTGCAACTTCATAGTTTTATATTTAAAACTTATTATACATGATATTGGGATTAGAAAATTTAATAACAGTTTGCGGCACAGACGTCCTTCATTATACATACATCATTTATATAAATATATATAAATATTAAAATTCGTATTTTCCTAGTAAACTTACCTGTTGGGTTTTTCGGAATAAACATTTCTTTGGTCTATTCAATCTTGACATCCTGTGTACAATCTATTCAATCTTGACATCCTGTGTACAATCTATTCGATCTTGACATCTTGTGTACAATCTTTTCGATCTTGACATCCTGTGTACAATCTATTCGATCTTGACATCCTGTGTACAATCTATTCGATCTTGACATCCTGTGTACAATCTATTCGATTTTGACATACTGTGTACAATCTATTAGATCTTGGCATCCTGTGTACAAAGGGTCTTGATGTAATAATCAGTTCTCTTTAAATCTTTTGTAAACATCATTAAATATAGATTTGTGTCATTTATGATGAATTTTGCATTAGATATCAAAGGAGTCGAGTCTTTTCCACAAACTCAAATTCACAAACTCAAAATCACTATAACTTTGCAACCTGATGGTATGGAGCTTTGATATTTCAAGCTTTTATTACTTGATCTAACAGAATTCATAGTTTGAAATATCTATAGGGTCCAGGACAATGGGTTGCAAAGATGTAGGAATAAGAAAATCGGAGTTTGTTGCTAAGACTCAATTCCTTTGTACTATAGACTAAGCTGTTTCGTTTTCACAATAAATCAAAACTTATGAGGTTGTGAATCTCGGGATCTAACATTGATCTTAATCTTACGGATTAATTTAATTCATCTTTGATATCCAGTGATGTTTATAACCTCGAAGGATAACATTTATTGAGGGATCAAGCAGTAAACCTCAAATTTAAAAGTGCCAACATTGGATATCTAGATCAAGCGTTAAAGATCAACGATGTTCCGCACAAAATATCAAACTTGAAATTACGTAAAATTATGAACTGGTGACTATCAAAGCATATGCTATATATTACAAATTAAACCAGTATGCATTTTATTTTATTTTAAAACCTTGCTTATTTTCAAACAATACACATTAAAAAAAATAATATATTGATAACATTTTTTTCAATCCAAAAATGCAACAAAAAAATTCTTGGCTTATTCCTTGATGTATCATGAACACAAGTAGAGTTGCTAGGTCCCAGTAATAGCAAACATATTCAACATTCCGCAAATTCTTGGCTTATTCCTTGATGTATCATGAACACAAGTAGAGTTGCTAGGTCCCAGTAATAGCAAACATATTCAACATTCCGCAAATGTTTCTTCTTTTTGCTAAATTCTATATTTTAAACATTTTATCATAATAATCTTCATATTAAGCTCAAAAATATGTATTTGAACCAATAAAATAAATACAATTTAAAAATAGGTGTTTACTGCATTTAAAATAATAACTTTTAAATATCACTAAAAAATCTGGTAGATTTTTTTGAAATCAACTAGAAAAAAAGTTTTCAAAAAAATAGTTATTTGATTTTAAAAGTACTCTTTTATTAACATTAAAAATTTCACAAAATTAAAAGCTTTTACAAAACCTTTCTTACAATTCTCTTTTTTAGATTCTAAAGAATTTTGTGAAGACGCCATCAACAAAAATGCGCAAAATCAATATTGCACCTTTTGTCCCTGTGCAAATTTCAATTTTTTTGTCATTAATCTTCTCACGATTACTCTTCAAAATATTTTGTACATCTAACTTTCATCCAATTATCCATATCATTAGCTTTCTGTTATATCTTTTTACGATAGTTTTAATGTTAAAATAAACTGAATTAAAATTCTTTCACAAGTTTATATCTTTTAAATAGTTATAATACGATTTAACTCCTTGTATATTCCCTTTAAATGAGTTTTATTATTAGTTAAGGATTGCAAGAATTCTGCGAAACAAATTGCCCAATGCATGGTGTTGCATAGATTGCAGGCGCAGGGCACCCTAATGCATTTCTCATCTTAATCTTAGAAATTTAAAAACGTGTTCTGCGTTGGCTAAAAAAAGTTCTAACAAAGACGATATCAGTTTGGCAGCCAAAGTCCATTTAAAAAATGTATATATTGTTAAGAAGGTTTAAAGTAGTACATATTTTAAAATTCAATTAAAGATCGATTGCTATATCATACTGTAGAGAATAGAGATAAATATGCATGAATATACGATTAAATATCATATAAATAAATAAGTTGAAATTTTTATTCACATAAAGTGTTTTTTTTTTTCACTCACTTTTTCATGTTTTCATGTCATTAATTGTAATTTTCTGTTGTTTACAAAATTTCTGAAAACGGAAACAAGCTTTTTTCCGTCGTCTTTGCTTTTCGTCATTTAGAAAATTCGTCGGCCGATGGATTCATGCTGACGTAGGCGAGGTCAGGGGATTCCAGCAGGAGGAGACTCGATCTCTTCATGGTCTCACGGTCCAGATCATCCTCAGGGAGATCCTCGTCATCGTGTACAAGTTCGTCAACTCCTCCGTCGAACTCAAAATCCTCGATATCGTCGATATCTCGACTGGTGTCGGCAGAACCATCCCGCTTCATCAGTCGGCCGGACGATTTCTTCCGAATAGACCGGCTCCTGGTAAAAAAAAAAAATGTTTGATAAAATGTTTTCCAAACTTTATCTTCACTATTTGATAAGTTCAAGAAAAAAATGTGCAATAATTGGATTGGAAAATAACGGAAGAAGAAGAAATTTCTAATCGACAAATTCGGAATTAGATTTTGCAAAATTGATTTTCAATAAAAAGGATTTGTTAGATATATTTAATGGTTCTGATCAAGGGTTAGGTCTATTTTTTTGGGTGCTGCACCATAGTAGGAGGTGGGGGGGTGGACCCTGCTCAAGGCCTTGCGTAGCGGATAAGAAACGATCAGAAATAATAATTTACAGAGTTTGTCCTTGAGTTTCCAATCGGAATCCCGTTGCGCGGAATTGTACGGAAATGTGCAATATTGCGTGCTAGTAAAATCCACTTGAGTTGGAAACCCTAGTTTGTCCTTTTCAGAATTTGTCTGTCATGACTTTCTCGTGGCAACGTTTCAAAATTTATATATTTACATATTAAGGTCTAAAATTTACAGATTTGTACTGTAATGTAAGGTTTAAAATTTACATATTTGTATTTAAAAGTAAGGTCTAAAATTTAGATATTTGTACTTTAATGTAAGGTTTAAAATTTACATATTTGTACTTTAATGAAAGGTCTAAAATTTACATATTTGTATTTTAATGTAAGGTCTAAAATTTACATATTTGTACTTTAATGTAAGGTCTAAAATTTACATATTTGTACATAAATGTAAGGTCTAAAATTTACATATTTGTATTTTAATGTAAGGTCTAAAATTTACGTATTTGTACTTTAATGTAAGGTCTAAAATTTACATATTTGTACTTTAATGTCAGTCTAAAATTTACCTATTAGTACTTTAATGTAAGGTCTAAAATTTGCATATTTGTACTTGGATGTAAGGTCTAAAATTTACATATTTGTACTTTAATGTAAGGTCTAAAATTTACATATTTGTACATAAATGTAAGGTCTAAAATTTACATATTTGTACTTAAATGTAAGGTCTAAAATTTACATATTTGTATTTTAATGTAAGGTCTAAAATTTACATATTTGTACTTTAATGTAAGGTCTAAAATTTACATATTTGTACTTTAATGTCAGGTCTAAAATTTACCTATTTGTACTTTAATGTAAGGTCTAAAATTTGCATATTTGTACTTGGATGTAAGGACTAAAATTTACATATTTGTACATAAATGTAAGGTCTAAAATTTACATATTTGTATTTTAATGTAAGGTCTAAAATTTACATATTTGTAATTTAATGTAAAGTCTAAAATTTACATATTTGTACTTTAATGTAAGGTCTAAAATTTACATATTTGTACTTTAATGCAAGGTCTAAAATTTACATATTTGTACTTTAATGTAAGGTTTAAAATTTACATATTTGTACTTTAATGTAAGGTCTAAAATTTACATATTTGTACTTTAATGTAAAGTCTAACATTTAACTTAAAGGGCGTGTATGCGTAATTTCAAGAGAGCGTCATGAAAAGATGGAATCCCCGATTCACAAAGCTTTGTCTGCTCAAGTAGGAATTAGACAATGTTTATGATTTTGAAAACTTATTGTTTTCAATTGGATTTGTGCATTTCTATTCCAGGAAAACATATAGGATTTATCAGAATTAAACACTTTTAAACCTAAAAAAGAAACATTATTTTCTACATTTTTCATCTGATAAAATGTGCTGATGTGAATCGGGCATTGCAAAATTTGCGACAAAGGTTCATAAAATTACCCTTCAAACCTTCAAACCTTCAAACCTTCAAACCTTCAAAATGTGATTATTTTCTTGAACATTTTTAGATAAATAAGTCAGGTCAAACTATTTTCTACCGAATTGAAAAGATCAGGGAAGAGTATTCAAATATTTTAAAATCTTTAAATACTTTCTCAGCGTCCTTTGAATTTTTGCTGACACTACGTTGACCCAGCACTTTCAGCTGACAGCTTGCTGACTCAAAGTTTTCAAACAGAATCTGATAAAACAGATCAAAACCACAAATCAAACACAAATATCAGCAAAAATAAAACATCAAAAAAATGTATATATAAATTTTTTGATTTGGTCTTTGCTCTTTGTTTCCAGGGGCAAGGGGAGGGTCAACAATGAAAACGGACAAAAACAGGGAGGGNAGGACAGCATGGATGTAATACCGTGTACAGTGTGCAGGACAGCATGGATGTAATACCGTGCACTATACAGTGCGCAGGACAGCATGGATGTAATACCGTGTACAGTGTGCAGGACAGCATGGATATAGTACCATGTACAGTGTACAGGACAGCATGGATGTAATACCATGTATACAGTGTGTAGGACAGCATGGATGTAATACCGTGTACAGTGTGCCGGACAGCATGGATGTAATACCATGTACAGTGTGCAGGAGAGCATGGATGTAATACTGTGTACAGTGTACCGAAAAACATGGATTTAATTCCGTGTACAGTGTGTCGGACAGCATGGATGTAATACCGTGTACAGTGTGTCGGACAGCATGGATATAATACCATGTACAGTGTGCAGGACAGCATGGATGTAATACTGTGTACAGTGTGAAGGACAGCATGGATGTAATACCGTGTACAGTGTGCAGTACAGCATAGATGTAATATCGTGTACAGTGTGCCGAACAGCATGTATGTATTGCCATGTACAGTGTGCTGGACAGCATGGATGTAATATCGTGTACAGAATCTAATATTGCCTGAGATTAGTTAGAAATAACTTGAGTTGAAATGTCGATAAATAGATGTAAATAATCGGTAAACAAAAATGTTGATAATATTTTGAACAAAACTCAATTGCATTCGGTATTTTTATCTGTAGGGTTGCCTGCACCACCCCATCTCCTCCTTTCCCCCTCCAAGCCCCCCTTCTCACCCCACAATCTCTCCTCCCTTTACCCTTAATCAAAAATGCACAATGCACATCATCCAATAAAAAAATCATGTAAAAAACCCTGATCAAAATAAAGTTTACACGACCGTACTTTTGTAAATTTCATAACCAGGCTCTAGGAGGCATTTATTTGATTTTTTGTTAAAATAAAGTTGCTTTTTAACAATTTTTTTCAATAAATTCTGAAAGAACAACAAAAAAAGATTTAACAATTTTACTGTTCCGATTAGTTTACCTGTTTAGAGGTTTAATACTAATACTAGGATCCTTGTCAAGAATNTTAGGAACACAGCTATCAGATATCCTAAACATGAAACTGTTAGGAACACAACTATCCGATATCCTATACATGGAACTGTTAGGAACACAACAATCAGATATCCTAAAAATGGAATTGTTAGGAACACAACTATCATATAAACAAATGGAACAACCATATTGAATTGCTTCACTCTCAAGAAGTAATACATGTATATACCGACATTTTTAACATGGAAAACCTAGGAATTGTTTTGAATCAAAATGTGGAAAATTTCCACACAGAAAATTAAGTTTAGTTTAGCATGAAATTTACCTGTGTCCTGCTTCTGGTCTAGTCCAGGAGGTGTAGGAGGAGGTGTACAACAAGCTGCCCTGCCGGGACAAGGAGCTCTACAAACATTTAATATTCAAGTTTCTTATTTTGTATGTTTTTTAAAATATGCCCTGAAGATGGTTAAATAAACCGAAAATTTGGCAAAAAGAGTTTTTGTTTCACGGATCTGAGAGTGTTAGATTTAGAAGAATTGTGTATATATACATAAATATATAATATGCATGTAGAAGGAGGTGTACACAAGCTGCTCTGCCCCGGGGGACAAGCAGGTGCGCAATTAGGGGGGGGGGGGCAGAAGTCCTTAACAGGAGTCTATATAGTTCCAAAAATAGCTAATTTTCTCGAAAATTTGAAATTGATATGCCCCCACAGTAATTTTTTTAAACCTTCCCTCATTCTTAAAGCAAACTCAAATTCACTGTAAAATATTTCAATATAAGCTAAGATTCTTTTTTATTTTCGCCCCCTTTCTTTAAAAAATGCCCACAAATCAGATGTTTAGAATACTCACACATTATTATTCAAATTGCCCCACCAGACTTTAATTTGCCTCTTTGTTCAACATTTGTAACCCTTAGTTTTTAAGAATTCCATCAAATATTTGTAATTTGCACCTAAATTTAATTTTTTGTATCCACAAATGTTTTGTAAATACACCAACTTCAACATTTACAGCCCTATCAAAAAAAGTTTTGCGCCCGACAAAAAAATAACCCTTTAACAAAGATTTAAGATTTCCCCCAATAGAAAAAATTCCCCCCCCCCAAAAAAAAACAAAATTTGCCCTTGAAATATATATTTAAGATTTTTCCCACACATAGGAATTAAGTATTTGTCACAAACTCTGATTTTCTAATCCTAATATCTTTTCAGCCTGATGGTGAAAGCTGTAATATTTCAAACTTAGATTATTTAATCTAACATAATTCATAGTTTGAAATAAATCAGACATTGGGTAGCAAAGATATAGCGGTTAGAAAATCATAGTTCAATGCAAAGACTCAAATCCAGTGCCCCAAATATATTCTGAATTGGTTAGGTAGTTTTTCCATGGTTGAGTATAATACACATTTTTCCTGCCCCCCCCCACTAGAAAATTTTAGGGGGGGGGAGGAAAAAAAATTTAATATATCTATATGAGATGAGAAAAAAAAGTAAAGAAAATGGGGAGGAACTGCATAGAAAGGGGACGAAGAAAGGAGGAAAAGTGTATTTGATTAAATCCGTGTTTCTAAAACTGCATCAGCAGCCCCTGTAGGGGTCCAGGCACTTTAATTCTTTAAATTCTAGATTCAATTAGCCTCGCCCTTCAACTTGTAACTAATACGCGCTAATGTTATAAAACATTGTTTATACAACAAAATAATTCATAAGATTATTTCAATAAATACAATTACATAATAAAAAAAATCCTACATATGCTTTGTATAAACATATGTAGGGTTCTCCTCTTTCGAATTTTTAACATTTTTCCTGGGAAAAAGTTGAGAAATTATAGGTGTTAACAACTGTCAGTGTTACGGTCAAACTTGGTGTTTTCCCAGGGGGGNGAAGAAGAAGAAGAAGAAGAAGAAGAAGAAGAAGAAGAAGAAGAAGAAGAAGAAGAAGAAGAAGAAGAAGAAGAAGAAGAAGAAGAAGAAGAAGAAGAAGAAGAAGAAGAAGAAGAAGAAGAAGAAGAAGAAGAAGAAGAAGAAGAAGAAGAAGAAGAAGAAGAAGAAGAAGAAGAATAAGAAGAAGAAGAAGAAGAAGAAGAAGAAGAAGAAGAAGAAGAAGAAAAAGAAAAAGAAAAAGAAGAAAAAGAAAAAGAAGAAGAAGAAGAAGAAGAAGAAGAAGAAGAAGAAGAAGAAGAAGAAGAAGAAGAAAAAGAAAAAGAAAAAGAAAAAGAAAAAGATGAAGAAGAAGAAGAAGAAGAAGAAGAAGAAGAAGAAGAAGAAGAAGAAGAAGAAGAAGAAGACGCACAATGTATATGATTGATATGTTTTGTCAGTTATCTCTGTCTGTCTGAATAATTATACTGCGTCCAATTAATCAAATGTATATATGTTTACATTATATTCCAAAACATCCAATATCCATATGGAAAATAATTATATCCATTAAATAGATTAGGTTTATTGTAGATACTTAGAAAGCAAAAATCCTAATTTAATGTAGCTACTGGTCGGTCGGGTCCAACGTTTTTTTGTCACACTCACATCATGACGGTTTAGGAAGCTTATGGCTGGTTGAAGTTGAAAAAATGTCAATATGAATTTTTTTAGAAATCTATTAATTTGATTTAAGTGTGCGCAAAATGCCCCAAAAGTCTAGGTTCATACTTTAGGAAATGAAATAAACCTTAATCAAATATATATTTTAAAAGATAAAAATAAACATAAAAATTGCGTACTTGAGAGTGAGTCCAAGGAAGTGAGGTGGAGTCGAATGAGTTTAAAGAGCCCAGTCTATCTGTTCCAACATCATTCTCAGTCTACATAGAATTTATATAAAGGGACTGTCAACTTGTTTTAGTTGACCTCACGTTTAATAGTTTCAGGTGCAATTTACAACGTTTCCCCTTTAAACCCCTTACCCTTTAAACCCTGTAAACCGACTTGAATATCAATTTGTCAATTATTAAACTATTTATTGAATACAGATTATTCAATGTGTAAACAATAAATTGAATATTATTTTTTCAATTATTAAAAAATTAACTGCATGAATAAAAATGTTAATTTATTTTCAATACAAAATTAACTTAATTATTATCATATTGTAAGCAATCAACAAATTAGTTTAATATATAAAAGTTTGTTTTCTACTTTTAACAAGTTTTCCGTATAAAAATAATATTTATATATATATACATATTTTTTATCTAGTCGATTTGTCTGTTCGTTTGTATCAAAAAAAACGTGGAATAACGACTGAACTGATTGAACCAAACCCCATGGAAGGTTTAGTGCCGGTGTTGAGCAGATCAGTTTATCCCAATTAAAGTTTTGCCCATTTCAGCCACTGCAAACTAGACAGGGCTACATTACTGATACCACTTTGTGACCTCGTAGCTCCTCTAGTTTCGATTTTAAGCACAATAATTACAAAAGTAAATTTATCCTGTTACAAATTAGAAATTCAAAACTTTTCTGTTCTCCTAAAGAGCATTTTTAGTAAAAGAGTTATGATTGAAAACATAAGAAATTTTACTCTTACAATTTACTTCAGTTTGAAGTGCAACATAATGTTTGACATAAAAACAATGTTAAAACATTAAAAGTTAATGAATTTCATCCATTTAAGAGCTCTAACTGTTACTAGAAAAGTGACGCGTAGCGCCATGGACTATGGAAGCCTGATGTCCAATTGAACCCCTGGACTGATTTGCCTCATATTTTGGTTGATTAACTCTATAGAACTATGGAATTAATTTTTGCTTGGGTAAAAAGTTTAAGTTAAGTAGATTAACTATTATTAAGAAAATTTACGGAACAGGTAAAGTTGTCACTTAGTATGCCGAGTCCATTAGAGCCTGATCCAATCAGGGTTCAGTCATGTGTTTGTTGTCAATTCTGAACCAAAAGAAATTGCATGGCGGTAGCATCTATCTATCTATCTATCTCATTATCCAATTAGAGATATAACCTTATATCGGCGCTATACACTAAATGGAAATATGTACTTCTACTGAAACTGTGGTGTTGTATTTCCCAGGCTAGTTTGAACATAAAGGTTTAACCTGAGTTCGTGATTCAGGTTCCTCAGTTAAACTTTCTAGTCCAGAGGAGATCAGGGGCTCTTCAGGAGAACTTGGCTCAGGGGCACCAGCACGGTGAAGGGGGTCGAGGGGTAGGGGTTGTATAAACTCTAGTTTTTGGCTCAGAAGAAGCAGGGGATTGTTAGTCTTCCTTCTTGTGTGTCTGAGCAAAAACAAAAACATTAAGTGAAACAATTATTAAAAAAGAAAAAATATTTTAAGTATGATTTTCTGACAACTTAAGTTATTTGTAGTTATATGTAGAAAAATGGTTAAACACACTTTTCAAAATAAAATGAAAATATATTTTTGTGTTTTTGTTTTCCTTTTAGGATCGTATTGGGAGATTTTTGAGGGTGAGAGAGATCTTTTTATACTGATCTTCCGTAGTGGTTCCCAACATACACCAACATCTATATATATTATTAGGTAGTGGTTCCCAACATACACCAACATCTATATATATTATTAGGTAGTGGTTCCCAACATACACCAACATCTAAATATATTATTAGTTTATCATTCAGCTTATAGAGAGAGCCAGCAAACTCTGGACGACTTTTAGACTTCAGTCTTTACTTTAGATAATCCACTGAACTTGAGACACACCATTTGTGCAGTGTAAACAAACCAATTTATCTAATAATTGATTTAATAGACTATATTTGCTTTGTAACAACATGATTACAGTAAAGTATTACTATAACGCCGTATTCCTCTTCCACACTTTTTTGGTTCGCACTGTATAATTTTAAAGGGACTGTCGACGCAATTTCATGTGACCATTTGTTTAAAGAGTTACATGAGTATTAATAGCTAGTGAGATAGATATTTTTGTTTTTACAATGGAAAGGGGTAATTTCTGTCAATTTCCTTGTTTGCCTTTGCTGCATAAATCTGCAGCCAAATTAAAAAAAAACTTGAAGGAAGGACAAGGATATATTTTACATCTTTGCTCGGAAAAAAGGGTACGGTCGTGAATCGGAAATTTAGTTCTTTAATTGTAGGGTCAATTAAAATTTGGCCGAGAGTCCCTGAAAAGCATGATAGGAGAAAATATCAAGTTTACTTTAATAATCATATTTTTTATTATAGTACGCATAATTTTACTATGAACCTGCTTAACCTAACTTTTACTAATCCATCTATTTAAAGATACAATGAGAACCAACGAAGACGACTTTAAAATCAAGTTTTGATTTTAAATAGTTCAATCAACATGAAATGCGGCAATTGTGCAGTGTAAACAGCCCAATTTTACGTAATAAGTTGAATTTTTAAATAAACAGAGCTAGGAACTTTAGAATGGTGGATACCGAGATTAATGCTTGATCCTCGCTTTTTCTTAATCTCGGGACTAACCTAATCTTGTAACTTGTATCCTGAAAGTGTATAAAATTCAACCAATCACAGTCGCATTTCAGAAGATGGGAAATTTGAAATTTTGCCCGCCATATAAAATTACCATACAGAATCGGGAGGGTCTCTCTAATTTTGAAAAACTGGTTTTTGATTTTTCTGTACAATACCCAAAAAAGAGTGGATTAAGCAAGAAATTAAAAGTGTCCACATTGGATATTCCGATTAAGCAGTCGGGATTACAGGTATCTCATTCTAAAGTTCCCAACTCAGATAAATCTATTTGCTCTATAACAACATCAAAAACACATTGCTTTCGTCGTCTTTCTAGGGCATGGAAGTTTTCAAAAATTAACATAAAATTCTAATATTGAACGAAACGCTTTATTTGATATATAGGCTGCATAACGTTGAATCCGGTTACATTTACTTAATCAATACTTTAGATAACTTGGAAACTTGAAACCGAAAAGGTAGCGGAAAATATCATAACTTCAGCTGGAATTTCAGAATTTAGATATTTCCATCTATATTTTGCATTTCGTTTCTATTTGTATTCAAGATTCATAGAATTCTAAGGAAGCCACAAAATGCTATTATTCTACTCTTTTCTTTTCATGTTATGACATCATACATAATACGCGAGATTGACTTCCACTTTGCAGTCACTTTTTGTTTTATATTATAGATATAATTATACAATCTTATTCATATTTTAGTTCTCAGGCATATTTATGGTTTCTGCTATGCACTATTTTAGAAAGAACATTTTTTTCCATAAAAAATTGTAATTTCCGGTTTGGTATGACATACAAAATTTAAATTTAAAAAGATGAAAAAATAAACTAAATAAAGAAAAGTGTTCAAAAGTTGTCTAAAACAAGATTTTTGGTAAAAAGATTAGTTTCTTCCAAAATATGCACTAAAAGAAAATTGAGTTGAATCTACATAATAAATACATATATTTACGATACCTAGTTAGCCTTTGTGTTAATTTAATTCAATAATTGATTATGGAAAGATTTTATTTGACATCAATCTACAGGGTTGCTTAAACATAATAATAAGAGTAGAAACGATTAGTTTTTAACCTCAACCCTTTTAGATGTGTAGAATATATAAGAAGTAAATAGTTAAAAAACTATTTATGGCATAAAAAAGTTTAAGATTTATAAAAATAATTTTACCTCCCCCTGTACTGCTCATGTTTCTCATTCAAAAGAAACGATGTAATGCCAAAATTTACTTGACTATGCCTGCTTAATTTCCGTAAACAAAATGTACATGTCATGTAATTTGTTTTGGAATTATCTTATCACTCAGACTTATTCTATTTGAATAAGATTGGTTTCCAATATTGACATCTGAAAAATAATCTGATTAACTTTATAGATTTATACAGAAAATTCGATATTTAACTTCAAACTTCTTCATAACATTTTTATATTTTATATTTAGTTTCAACGACTTGACTCGATGTCCACTGCACAAACTTTAAAACTCCGGGATTAACACCTTTAATCAGAGAAATACAGGGTTACCAACAAAGAATAAGACTATAAAAACGACCCGCAACTCTGAAAATATGGCGATTACAAGGAAAAATTTAGTATTCCGTTAATAATATAGTTTTACTTGTAAAGTCTTTTTAATGATTGGGCAGGAATCAAGGTGAGAGTTGGAACCATGGATTCGTAAAGTCGTCTTTGAAGTCTTATCCTTTGTTGGTAACCCTTTCTGGTAGTAATTAGGTTTCTAACGTCTAAGAATGAACCGTTGGGACTGTCTGAGCGCTAAAGGTTTAAAGGGACTGTAATACCCAATTCACACGGCACTGTGATCTCGCCAGGGTACATTTGTTACATAAAACGTGCTGGGTCGACTCTTCACTGGGAAGCCTAACTATAGACAGTGCAAAGGACTGCATATACGGTAGGTCGGCACGGATCATTCAACTTTTAGACTGGGGTGATGTACAAGATGTCGTTTTTCTAGATTTAAAGTGTTTAATTGTGATAAATCCTTCATGTTTTCCTTCAGTTGAAATGCGCGCAAGTCACTTTTGTAGAGAATCCACAGTTAAAAATAATCAGTTTTCAAAATAAAAAATTTGATATCTAATTCATACTTGATCAGACAAAGCTTTTAAGGACACCATTGTGAATCAGTTATTGCAATCTTTGCGTGAAAAATAACTTGAAATTATGCTTACAGTCCCTTTAAGATGCAAAATCACTTGAAATTATGCTGACAGTCCCTTTAAGATGCAAAATTTTTCCTCTAAGGTTAGTTACTGAAGAATTTGCATGGGAAAAATGTTCTTTTGAATCTTAATCATCCAGATTCTAACTTTTATTTTTTAGATATTATAGACTTTTTAAAAACAAAAACTTTTTATCATTCCTTCACTCAATGCAAATTTCTCAAGTAAAGAAATAGCTTGATGACAAAAATTTACAATGTTAGTATGGTACAATAACATTGGAGCCAAACAATTCCGTTATCAATGGAATAATCTAATAATTGCACTTGTTCATAAACTGTCCATATTTTGTATTAGGTTGGTGGATTATATCAGATCTAATCTGTTGGTGGATTATATCAGATCTGATATGTTGGTGGATTATATCAGATCTGATATGTTGGTGGATTATATCAGATTTGATATGATGCTGGATTATATCAGATCTAACATGTTGGTGGATTTTATCAGATCTAATATGTTGGTGGATTAACGGACGGAAAAGAACTGAAAGAGGCCTACTCAACACAGACGGAGACTGCACTAGACTCTGCACAGAGGACAGAGGCCAGAAATTCAACAGAACTCATTAGTATTTCCGGACTACGCTTTATCCTCCTGCTTATTGCATAACAGGCAGATTAAACAGGAAACAGGACTGACAAGGGAATACAGGAAAGACGCAGGAAACAGGTAGGAAAAAGGTAGGAATCAGGTAGGAAACAGGTAGGAAACAGGTAGGAGACATGATACAGGTAGGATACAGATAGGAAACAGGTAGGATACAGGTAGGATACAGGTAGGATACAGGTAGGATAAAGATAGGAAACATGTAGGAAACAAGTAGGAAACAGGTAGGAAATAGATATGACACAGGTAGGAAAACAGGTAGGAAACAGGTAGGAAACAGGAAGGAAAAAAACAGGTAGTGGATAGGAAACAGGTAGGGAAAAAAATATAGTGGAGGATAGGAAGCAGGAAAGAAACAGTTAGGAAATAGGCAGGAAACAGGTAGGAAACAAATATAAAACCTGTAGGAAACAGGTAGGAAACAGGTAGGAAATAAATTGGTTATAGCGGATTGGAAACAGGCATAAAACTGGTAGGAATTTGTCAAAAAAATAGTTATCTGAACCCCGGTGAAATATTATTAAACCTTATGATAAAACTTCAGTAACAGGTGGCCATTGTTTTTTATCCAATTTTATTCCTTTCATTGTTGCCTAGATAATTTAATTAAAAAGATGGATAATTTGATAATTGGTGATAAAAGTCTAACCTCTTATTTTTATGAAATTAAAAAAACATATTTTGTAAGTTTCCATTACATGTTTAACAACTTTTCACCTCTAAAATTCATTTAGTCTAAAGTTAATTTAAAACATGTTAAAGTCGTTATTTTTGCTTCTTTTCTTGAGGTCATTACTCCCTAATTTTTATTTAAAAACATTTAAACTATGTATTAGCAAACTAAGAAAATATTTTTCCCGTCAATCTTCTGTAGAATATTCTACCTGGAAATATCAGCAATATCAGAAATATCAGAAATACCGGAAAAAAAAGAAAATATGAGAAAAATATATCTGAAATATTAGACGCTTTTTAGGAAATTAAGATTGAGATTCTGTAACTTTTTAGCTTTCACCGAAATGATCTTTTTATCGTGATATTTTTTGATTTTTCCAATTTATTTCAAACTTGACAACTATTCTCAACTAACAAATAAGTTTCTAAAATATATGTTTGTGTAAGAAAAGAATGAATTATGAACAGGTTACGATATCAGGTTGCAAAGATGTAATAATTAGAAAATTTGAAAATCATAGTATGATGCAGAGTAACTGGTTTCTTTCAAAATAATCATGTAAAATACAAAATAAAAAAGAACTTTTATTTTCTGTTTACGCCGCACCTGATTTTTAAACTAAAAGTTATGAAACAAATTGGGTTTTTGCCACACACTCTTCTTTTCTAATCCCTATTTCTATGCAACCCGATGTCGTAGTCCTTAGATATGTAAAACTATGAGCTCTGTTAGATCAAATAATATAAGTTTGAAATATCAAAAGTTTACACCATCAAGCTACGTGCAAAGATGTAGGGATTAGAAAATTTGGGTTTGTGGCGAAGATTCAATTCCTTTTGAATTTCCTTCAAAATCAACTGGAACACTGTAAATCTATCCATCCACAGCATATATATATATATACTTTGTGTGTATGTCTGTCTGGGTGTCTGTCCGTTTGTATCCAATAAACGACAACACGGCTGAACCGATCGGGCCCAAATTTTGTGTGGAACCTCTCATAACCCCAGGGAAGGTTTTAGGGGCTTAAAAATGGAGAAAAATTGGGAAATTGTTTGATTTGTTTTTTTAATGCGCCAATTAGAAAAGGATATCCGACAACATTTAAAAACGATTTTTAATGGCCAACTTTCAAGGCAACAGTTTAAAGTTAAAATGATAAAATCCTAGCGCTATATATTTGGACAAGCGTTCTTTTGCATTTTAATACTTTAGTTAAGCATAAAGTCTGATGTTATGTCTCTATAAATGTTTGGTGTATTTGTATTATTTTGTATGTATATACAATATATATATATTCTTTAGATGTATATACATAGTAATCCCACATGTCTATCCCTAGGTAGTAAAGTTGACCTTCATGGCTGACTAGCTCGAATATACTCTACTAGGGGAGTATTGACATTCCTAGGAACAGGTGTAAGCAGTATTCATGCTACAGGGTGTCTTAATAAAATAGTATTCACACATTCAACAATGTGTCTCAAAACAGCGTATTTTTTTAAACTGTAGACATGACTTAGGACATTTCAAAACTGTAGACATGACTAAGGACATTTCAAACCTGTAAAGATGTTACATGGTGTTTTAAGCCAGTAGAAATGATAAATGGTGTCTCAAAACAGTATAAACGTTATACAAGGTGTCTCAAAACAGTATGCATGATACAGGATGTCTTAAAATAGTGTCTATGATACAAGGGGGGGGTGTCTCAGAGTATGATGAAGGGAGTCTTAAAGCAGAATACATGATGCAGGGTGTCTAAAAGTAGTAATTATACAAGACTCTACGCATTGGAGTGTCTCAAACCCTTAGTATTGTTCTGTATTTACTATTGCTGAGGTCTGAATAGTATTTGCAAATCGCTGGTGTTAATGGGTTTAAAATCCTGAGTAATGTGCCGCCTAGGTTTATCTTATCTGTCTGACTGCTGAAATGTTTTGTCTGAAAACATATTTGCAAATAGTAATCTAGAATCATCTATTGGTAAAAACAAGGTGGAAAGTGGAGTTGAAGAGTGGGTTTGCGCACAATAGATTGCTTGGAGTTGGTCAATGTAGGCTTTGTTTCTTATAATAAACTTAAACTTACAAATAAGGCATTTCCTGGTTCTGGTCTGACTCCCAATTTGCACTGACAAGTCAGTATTATTTTACTTCTGATCTCTTTGATTGTTTAACACTTTTTCAGTTTTACGTACTAAGTTAGTTTTGACAACAGTAAAACGTTTCAGTTTTGTTTTAAACGTTTCACTTGATGTAAATTCCAAGAAACGAGTAAATTTTACATTTTACATTTTTACATTTTACATTTTACATTTTTAATCAATGTTTACTCAGAAACCCTTTGACCGATTTGCCTCTTTGATTGGGGAACTCAATAGAACCACGGGAATGTGTTCCGCCTGGGTTAAAAGTTATAAATTGAGTGTGTTGACTTTTATAGGGAAAGTTTAGATTGCCCGGCAAGTCAGTAAATTAAAACATACAAACTTTTTTATTTTTTGTTTTCAATACCTTATTCAGTTTTATAACAGTAGTTATTTCTTACTAAATACTATATAGTTTCCTTCTTAAAGGGACTGTACACATAATTGCAAGTGAATCTCCATTTGTAGAGTGACGTTTTCGATTAACAACAGTACCCTTTTAACCTCTGACTGAACACGGACTTTTTTTATTTTGTCTAATTTTTTATAGCTTAACTTATATTCGAAAGCTGGTTTGAATTTACAAATCATATTATATACTTTTTAGAAGTTCAATGAATTTCATAAAAATCTGCGATAGACATAGAATGTTCAAACTTTTCAGACATACGCCTTGGTCAAGTTGTATGTTCTTTTGTCTTCATACAACGTACTATTTGTTTTCGTAATTTGAATCTGTCTTATATTTTATCAGTTCATAATGAATATCTACAGTCTTTAAAAGTTTTATATTTTTAGTCATATAACGCCAAAACTTTTCCGTTTTATAATTTGTTTCCTTCTGTGTCATTTGTCAAAAAAATGGAAAATTACCAATAAACAAAAAAAAATATTTGTTAAAAGTATATTAATCTTATTTGGTCTTATTCATTATGAGAAGAGAAGAGGGGGGGGCAGCGAACAATATACCCCTTTTGTTATTTTTGGATGGGAGGGGGGGGGAGGTGGAGGGTTAGAGGATTATGAAGGAAAAACGCTGGAAGGGAATACTGCTTAATGTTTACATTTGCTTGACAGGGCCGGAGGAGGTGGGGGGGGAGGGTATTCTTTTAATCCTGACAAAACAAATATATGAATGTTCTCTTACATAATGTTTACAGGATAGGACCGCATACCTAGGATATTATATAATCAAGACAGGAATAGAACTTCAGATATTCTTAATAAATGCTTCACGACAAAGTATTTCAAATCTTATATACTATTGAAGTGCCCGGCGTTGGCGATGGAATTTTAGAACACATGAAACAAATAACAAATTTAAGAAAAACTGATTTTTAAAGCCTATATGTTACCCCTGGGGGTATCAATGGGTTTGCTCAAAATATTTCAGCCATTTTGGTTCAGCTGTTTGGCCGAGCTATAGCTTTTCTTCTTTTTTTTAGTAAACAAATTATTTTAATATTAAAATAAGTTGTATTTGTAGCTTCTACGTATTTTTTTTTCTTGGATTTTACTTCTTTTTCTAAAAAAGTATATATATATGCAAAGTATACATTGCTCTAGAGACAAAATATTCTCGAAAATAAGTCCTCTTGAACTGTTGGTGAAAACGGAAAAAAAAACATCATCTAATGATTATATCTTGTTCATTTGTACAGGAGATTAAACAAATTTCTTGAGACCATTTGTCTGCAGACTCTAATTCATGTAATGAAAGGACTGTATTTTTTTGCCACAAACTCAAATATTCCAATCCCTAAGACTTTGCAACCTGATGGTGTAAAAATTTGTTATTTCAAACTTGAAATATTTGATCTACTAAAATGTATAGTTTTTAAAATCAGAAGTTTACGACATCGGGTTGCAGAGATATAGGGATTAAAAAATCACAGTTTTTGACTTATTTGATAGTTCTCTTTATTTCCATTTTTTTAAGACCATTCAGAAAGTTTTAATTTCATGTTTTTTTCCAGGAAACTTTTTCCCGTGACTTCTATTACCTATAGATTCTTACAATATATAAATAAAAATAAAGCTGTAATGGTAGTATTTATTCAGAAATTAAGATGTAACATTGTTATTTTCTGTTTGCCATTAATAATGTACTGCACAATACAGGAACCGGTTTTGAATGGTTTTGATTCAATTTAATTTCTAAAATAAGGTTTAATCACAATGATATGTTTATAACGTTAGAAGGGTTAACGGATTAAAATCAAGAAAAGAGACCATTTTTTGGCTTCGAATAATCGTATTTTTATCATCTATTGAATAAAGAAAATAACTGATAGAAGCAAAAATGTTCGAATTTAATCTGAAAGGTTAAACAAAAGTTTATAATTTTACCAAGCAACCTTTCACACTAAATTCTGAAGCAAAATAATGGTTTCATATTAATAATAAGTCTTAGTTAAATCATTATATTAGATCTGGATGAATTTAACGTGTTTACAAGGTTATAATTTAGACGTCCTAAAGAATTGTAGAGAGAGAGAGAGAATGAGAAAGAGAGAGAGGAAGTAAGAATGAAAAGAAAGCAAGCAGGAAAATGGCGGATTTGAATGCCGCGTCCGGTTACAAAACCGAAAAATGGCACTCAATTTGAATCAGCTGATATGGTCCCCTATTCCGGTTTACCGGGATATGGCGCCTCAAGAACTACCTTTTTTATCTACCCTTCACAGGGCGGGTCAAAGGAAGCGTCTGAGCCGAATTAACCATGGATCCCAGGTTGGATTTAAATGATATGCTAAAATTCTTTTGAAAGCCGTGGACTTATGTTTTGCGAACAAAACTATTTTTTCTTTCTCAATCAACAAAAACAGATAAAAAAAAATAATAATCAAAAATCATGTTTTAATATTATTCAAACAAATGAACAAGGAAAACTAAATCTCATCTCTTGAAACCCTCTGGACTAGATAAAGTTATTGAAAAATGGGAGAAACTGGAATTAAAGCAAAATTCCCGAATCCCACGTTTTACAAGGGCATGCTGTTAAGGGAGGTATGGTGCTAGCATTATTCTAAATGATATCGTTTCTGAGAGCTCTGGGTGATCATAGTTCTTGTCTCCTCAACGCGCTTGGACACCGAGCTCGAGCTCGAGCTTTGCATGCTCTTCTTCCAGCTGGACATCTGCGCGTTGTGTCCGGAGGCAGTTTTGAACCTCTGGAGGGACTCGGTGAAGCTCGGGCCAGACTCGATACTGCTTTCCATAGCACTGGAGTCATTCGTCTTGTTTAGGGAGTCATTTGTTTTGCTGAAGGAGTCGTTTTTTCTAGACTCGGCATAGTAACTGGTATGGGAGTAGTTAGGACTAGCTGTGTAGACCTAGAAAACAAAGAAAAATTAATTTTTAAAAATCATATGGATTGCAATGAATAAAAAGGATGAAATATTCGAATAAATGAATGGTATGCAATATTAGGAATATGGGAATGAAATAAATGAATCTTACTATAAGGAAGCATGTAACAAAACCAGAGTTTGGGACTTATAATCAGGGTTTCATCGTTCATCATCTGGGACTACCTCAACAAGTCCCACCAATAAAGGGGGTTTTGGTCCAACAGAAATTTATGAAAGGATAAATGAATGTCTGGCAGAAAGGATATATGAAAGAATGAATGAATACCTGTCTTGAAGTATAGAAGGTTGGGGTGTAATCATATCCTGAGGACTCATATCTAACAAAAATATAAAATTAAAACATTTTTAAAGTTTAGTTTATTTGGACATGCAAGCAGACATCACAAACTAAAGAGACACAAACTAAATAAATTATTTTTTCTAAATTTTGGCAATACACCCAACATAACTAAATAACAGGTTGTAGGTAAAAATAATAGAACGCAAAAAATGTAAATTTAACAATTCTGATATCATTATTATTTTAGTTTTAACTACAAACCTAAATGATCTAAGAATTTTAAATCATGTATAAAAAAATTGTATTATCGTGTAAAAGGTGTAAAAAAAAGGGAAAATGAAATGAACATAAAAAGTACATGCATAAGATTAAACAATATTAGCTAACTAGAATTTTGGAAAATTACTCATACTGGTCAATAAAATGTCAATAAAATGTTTAATAAAAATCTATTCTAAGGAAAACAGGAGACACACGGGGGCTCACCCTGTGACCCTAGTAGACCGAAAAAAATGGTCTCCTTCTTCTGTTTCTAAAAATATAGATTCAGGTCCGCTGATATATAGAAATATGGAAGAATTCAATATATCAAAAAACTAACTAACTACTAAATCTAAAAATCTTCAAAAATTGTGTTAGTAATATCGAAATATATCAAAATAATTTCGGAAATCTAACATTTTCTTAAAAATTATTATATGAACAGAACGTTAGGGAAGTAGCACAAACATTCTGTTTGTAGTTTCGATCAAAATGTTTTTAATTTCGATCAAAATGTTTGTAATTTCGATCAAAATGTTTGTAATTTCGATCAAAATGTTTGCAATTTCAAAATTCTCTTGAAATGTTCAATATAAGGAACAAAATGTTAGGGATTATACTAACAGTGTAAACATACACAACTACCATATACTAAATATGTTAAATGTTATTTTCGTTAAACATATAGGAACGAAAAACGTCTAGCTACAGACATATCTACTCATTTTATCGTAAAATGTTGTGCAATTTTTCATAATTTTAGTCATTAGGGACACTTCAATTAATACTAATTTTACATCAAAAATGTTCCAAAGAATTTCATATTTCAAAAGAATTTAGTCTTTGCCACAAACTCTGGTTTTCAAATACCTATACCTTTGCGATCCAATGAAGTAGACCTATGAATTTTGTTGGATCAAAAAATCTGAGTTTGAAATATCAAAGATTTATACCATCAGGTTGCAAATAAATAGGGATTTAAAAATTTGAGTTTGTGGCAACCGCTAAATTGCTTTGAATCTTTGAATTTTCTAATCTATTGAGTAGTAGTTTCCAGCAGATAGGTATATTGCACTGCTCGTGCTACGGCTATAAATTAGCCTAAACTTTTAACCCAGTTCTCTGATTATGTATTAAATCAATTTTAGGTCGGAAACTGCAGTTTAGAGAAAAGTTTGTTTCTGGGATTGTATACGTCATCTCAAGTAACCCTCGTTTTTAAAAGAAATATTTTCTCTTTAACACCTTTAACCCTTTGTCTGGTTAAAAATGATGAAATACTACTTGTTTTCCGGTGCAGGTAATAGTATATTTATGCAGCAGAGCAAAATATAAAATATATTAGTCATTGTTACTCAGATAAAGGTTTAAAGAAAATCTTTAAATGAAGATGGATTTGAAATCACATGGACAGTTTCTTTAAGCTGGGTTGAGAAAATACAGAACATGTTTTCAAGCTAGTAACGGACGTATTCCCCAAGTATAAGCTGAAAAAGGTCATAATATCTAAGTTTGTTTTGATGAAGAAACTCTTTTATTTTACAACCTTTTAATACCGACAAGAAGCCACATTAATTTTCATTTAAAACTCACGAGTTTATTTGTCAAAATTTTGTCGAAATTTTGACACAGTGCCAATATTCTTCAACTTTTTCACGCTCTTTCTACTTTCAAAAGTTGAGATTGAACTTTTTTCCACTGTATTTTCGACACCCACGCTAGATCCTCTAAACAGAAGTTTATTTCCATTACTTTTTACCCATAGTAAATAAAACAAGCCTAAAATTCAGAATGTTTAAAGTCATTTTTTTTCATTTTGTACTTATAGTTATATCGGCGTATTTTACAGAACAGTTAGTTTTAGTAGATGTTTACTTAGTTAGGTATACATACTTGCAACAAACTCTAATTTTCTAATCAATATATATCTATGCAACCTTATAGTGTAAATCGTTGATATTTCAAACTTAGATAAAAGGATCTAACAACATTCTTAGTTTAAAATATCAAAGGTCTTCAGCATCAGGTTGCAAAGATAACGGGGTTAGAAAACTTGAATTGCTGGGGAGTGTTCAGTTAATTTCAAGAAGAGATGTTACGACACAGTCGCTACATGCACCTATTTATTTTGTTCCCAGCACCGATTTCAAAAATGACATTATATCGTCGTCGGCTGGACTCTGGGGAGATGCGACCATACTCTCGATGGTTCGGAGTAAAATCATGGACAAGGCTCACCCTGTATAGGAATTATTTATATATTTCACCCTGTATAGGAATTATTTATATATTTCACCCTGTATAGGAATTATTTATATATTTCACCCTGTATAGGAATTATTTATATATTTCACCCTGTATAGGAATTTTTAGTTATTCACACGTGAGCAGTCCTGAAAGTCAATAATGTCCAATGTTCAAGAATGTATGAAGGTGTATAGAATAAATACATGCATTAAACTACTTCGCACATGCAAATAAAATTTTTGACTTTTAAATTTTTAAAATTTTAAATGTTTTTTTTTACATTTTCAGTCCATGCAAATATAAATAATAGAATTGTATTGATTGCTTTAGTTTGTTTACTGAATTAACTCTATCTGTTGCAAAAAAAACCCCTATTCAATCCCAAACCCTGAGCTAGGTTTAAACCTACCCTGAGTGTTCTGTTTCTGAGTCCGTCTTGTATCTCTCGATATGCATTTTCTTTAGTTTCTCCTGGGCCATCTTATATTCACGTTCCTTCTTCAATACTTCCTCTTGGATTTCAATATACTAAAATAATTATTGTGAAAATTAAATCTAAAAAATTAAAACGTTTACAGGTCAAAAACAAGGGGAAATAGTGAAAAGTGGCATGATTTTGTTTAAGGAAGTAAATTTTAGAATTTATTTTGATAAGTCTCCCATCGAACAAAACAAACAGTCGCACCTTTGAAGAATGATATTGCAAAGTGTAGATATATCAAATCGACATTTTTCGGAATTTTCATACTTTTTAAAAATCAAAATAAGTTTATAATTAGCGAACAGATTTCTTGTGATTTTTCCAAATACTCTTTTAAGCTAAAACTGGCAACAACATGCTTGAAATTTTAAGATCGTCAAATTCAGGGCTCCAAAAAGTATTTTGAATTGAGTTAAAATGTTGACAATGCAAAGTCGTTACGGTCTATATTAAACAGTTTTATGGGGGGGGGCGTGAAGGGGGGGTACCTGGGCTTGTGCTTTAACTGATCCTGCAGAAGTATCGATCATTAATCCCTCCTCCTCCTCATTCTCCTTGATGGAAACCTTGAAACAAACAAAACACATTAAATCATGTCGAATATTTAAATATCTTTCACAATTAATTGGTAGGTACCTGAGCTGCTTTGACCAGATTTTCGGTAGCTCTCCTTACTGCATTACTTGCATTCTCTAGCCTAAAAAAGGAGTTTATTCAATGTAGGGGAAACAAAGTATCCATAAAATATTGTTTATGTTAAAAAAACTACATAAAATATTGTTTATGTTAAAAAACTACAGAAGGATCTGATTATTTGCCCAAAACTCTTCTTCTCTTATCAACCCTGATCTCGAGGATATCTGAATTCTGCTAGATTTAATAGTTAAAGTTTGAAATATCAAAATTGTAAAACATCAGGATGCAAAAATATAGATTAGAAATTTAGAGTTTGAGTCATGTAATCAGTCCTTTTAGAGACTAACCGTTTAAGCGCTTGACTGTTTGGATCAGCTTTAACCTTGCAGGCCAGAAGCAGCTGAGCTGTGGCAGCAGAAACCTGATAAATATTTGAATGCTTATTTTTTATAATTTTACCCTGATGTAGGAATACTGTAATTTGAAAACCAAATTTTTGGACCCCCCCCCCCTGATATTGAGCAAAGAACCTATCGGCGTGAATTAAAGACCCGATTCACAAATGTACTGAGCAAAATGATGAATGGGTTCATATGCAGCAAAGACAAGGAAGTAAATTTGAAATATATTTTTTTTAAATAAAAAAAAGAAGATATTATAGTTTTTAAGGTACCGTTTAGAATCTGGTATTTAGGGTACCGTTTAGAATCTGGTATTCTTTAGGGTACCGTTTAGAATCTGGTATTCTTTAAGGTACCGTTCAGAATCTGGTATTCTTTAAGGTACCGTTTAGAATCTGGTATTTTTTAAGGCGCCGTTTAGAACCTGGTATTCTTTAAGGTACCGTTTAGAATCTGGTATTTTTTAAGGTACCGTTTAGAATCTGGTATTCTTTAAGGCGCCGTTTAGAATCTGGTATTCTTTAAGCTGCCGTTTAGAACCTGGTATTCTTTAAGGTACCGTTTAGAATCTGGTATTCTTTAAGGTACCGTTTAAAATCTGGTATTCTTTAAGGTACCGTTTAATAATAATAATAATAATAATAATAATAATAATAATAATAATAATAATAATAATAATAATAATAATAATAATAATAATAATAATAACTCACCGTCCTCGGATCCTATATGCGTCCTCTGCTTGACCTTCCCCTCCAGAACCAACTCCTTCTGGGCCTCGGAGGCCGCCTTAATCAAGTGCGAGGTTGCGTTTGCAATACTCTTCGCAGCCTCAAGAATCATTTCATCGAAGTTCATGTCCTCAGCAACAACCTGATAATACAAGGTTAAAGTTTGTCAACATCTTGAAGGATAAAGAAAACTATATTAATGGCTCGAATTTTGTCTTATTTCGATACATTTTTAAAAAGTTAATAAATGTTTCAAAAAAATATTTTAATAAATGTACATAAAAAATTAATATAATGATTCTACAATGTTTAAGCTTTACATAGAAGCATATCTTTCTATGTGCAGCTGGACTAAACTACAGGTTTATATAAAAGGTTTAATGTATACAGTACAAAGGATGGAACAGGGTTGAAGTAAAGTACAATACCCATGAATATGTTTGTATACTGGTTGATCTAATCCAAACCAAGAATATCAAACATATCTTAGGGTAGTGTACAGCAGGGTAGTGTACAGGTACGGTTCAAGGGTACTCCAGGTACAGCAGGGTAGTGTACAGGTAGGGTTCAAGGGTACTCCAGGTACAGCAGAGTAGTTAGTGTACAGCGAAAGTTTAAGGGTACTCTAGGTACAGCAGGGTAGTGTACAGGTAGGGTTCAAGGGTACTCCAGGTTCTGCAGGGTAGTGTACAGCTAGGGTTCAAGGGTACTCCAGGTACAGCAGGGTAGTGTACTGCTAGGGTTCAAGGGTACTCCAGGATAGTGGGCATGCAAGGTTCATGTTTAAACATTTTTGATTCAAATTATTTTTGTAAATTAATAAGAAATTTCACAGTTATAATATTGGATTAAAAAATATAAAATAATTTTTCGGGTTAAAAAAACTATCAAACAAATACACATTCGGGATTATAATAATTACATTTTCTAATAGAACGAGTTAACACAATACACGAATGTTATTATTCAAATTATTATGACATATATACATAAAGTATCTTGTGTAATAATAATCCTAGTACAGAACTTATAAAATTATCAGAATGTATAGAAATAGAAAAATTTTAACATTTCTGTTAAAGCTTATAATTCTAATATAAATACTGGATACTACACAGGGTAACAGAATATTTGTTTTTTAAAAGTGTCCACGCATGAAAAAAAAATTTGTTTGGAACTAAATTCCTTTAAATCATTAAACATTGATTTAAATAATATATTTTAGTTTTTCCTACCTTTCCCTTGATTTCCTTCCTAGGTTTAAGAGTAGCAAGCTTCCTTGCAGCTCTTTCAATACTTTCAGCAGCTCCTAGCAGCTCATTCTCAGCTATCAGCATAGGATCATCAGGGTCTACCCAGTCAGCTCTTAATAATAATAATAATAATAATAATAATAAAAATAATATTAAACAGTTTTTACCTTTAGTAGCTCTGCTGTTTGAGCCAGCTGTGTGACACATTGAGCTATTTTGCGTGAAATATTCGGAAGATTGGACTTAGCCTGAAAATATTTAACTACAAAACCTGTCATTTTATCTTTTTAAAAATGTTTAACAAATAATTTTAGTTTGGGGGGAAAATAATCATTAATTAGATAAAAATGTCAAAAAGAAGTGTCATAATGAACAACTTAGGTTTATTTTATAAAAAACAAAAAGTTATGTAAAAGTACCTCGTTAGTTGGTCTGTTGAGGATATGCATGACAAGCTGTAATAGTTCCCTGTACTGTACTGCAACCTCGTGTCCAAACTGTAGAGCTTGCTCCCGCAGATCAGCTGATTCAGAACCATACGCGGCAGCCTAGGCATGTAGCTTTATGTAGTTAGGTAGAAAGTCAGGGAGGTAGAAAGTTAGGGAGGTAGAAAGGTAGGAAGTTAGGAAGGTAGGAAGTTAGGAAGTTAAGTAGGTAGGTAGGTAGGTAGGTATGTAGGTAGGTAGATAGGTATGTGGGTAGGTATAGGTAAGTAGAGAGAAAGTTAGACTTGTAAGTAAGTAGGTAGGTATGCAGGTAAGATAGTTAGGTAGGTACATGGATATGTAGGTAAGTATGTTGGTAGATTTGTAGGTACGTAGGTATGTAGATATTGGAGGTAGGTAGGTAGGTAGGTAGGTATAGCAAGTAAGTAGACAGTACTTTATCAGTTAACAAATTAGAAATATCTTAATAATAAATGAATGTTTTTTCAAAGAAGATGGATTCAAAGGAAAGATAAATATTCTCCAGGCCCCCCTCCCTAGTCTTTGTCCCTCCCCTCCCAACCTTCTTGACTAATTTAGACTGAAAGAAAAAGTGACAACGCTGACAATTTGGAATTCTCTTATTGATTGCTCAAAATAAATCTTAAAAATGTCTTAAAAGAAATCTAAATGAAATACAGTTATACTTTTTATATTTTAATGAAGGTTCCAGTAATCTTTTCGTATAAATCTGTTACTGAAGAATCTGGCATTATTATTGTGACATTATTATTGTAATTTTCAAGGATTTCAAGTTTTAAAAACAAGGTCGTTTAGTAGATTCTTTCTTTCAATACAAAGAGCAATAAAGAAATATAAAAAAATATTTTCTTGAATTTAAGAAAATTTATACCTTGCAAGTAATGAGAACATCAGAAATCGCTTTCCTTCCCATATTTGCAGCAACGATTACATCATCTTGTTTGCACGATTTACCAGCAGCAACTGCCTTCGCTGTTGCGATGGTAATCGGCCTTGTTGATCGAAGAAGCTCCTCAGGGCCAAGGTTCGATTTCGGGGCGTCAGGTGAATCAAAGGCTCGAATTTCTTGAGCAATGGCTTCGATGGTAGCTTCAAGGGCTCGAGTTCCTCGTGTGTGTTCGTCTTCTACAGCCTTGACGGTCTTGAGAAGACTAGTCACGTTGGTTACCATGATCTGAACATAAATAATCGTTAGCATCAACAATCATTGACAATACAATTGACAACAGCCGTCAACAATATCATAAAAACAACGGCCTTTAACAATGACATTGACAAGGGTCGTTAACAATATCATTAGAACAAGGGTCGTTAATAATATTCGTTAACAATATTATTAACCAAACAGCTGTGGATGAAAATCGAATGCTAGGCTGTGCAGTATACAGGAAGGGTACTGATAATACTGCTCAATGCTCAATAGGAAATATATAAAATATATGAAAAACTTTATTGTACATGCAAGTTTATTTGTACACTGTAGTCTATACATTTAAAATGTCACAAAATTGCGTAGACATCTAGAACATATTCTGTTAGTCACATAAACAATATCTCTCGTGTCAAGCTAAAATGTCACTTAAAACAAAAAATCTTAAAAATCATATCTTTGTTGTTTTGACAGAAATAATTCCCCAAGGCAGATGTAACAAAAAGCAGAATAAAACTATGTTGAAAGCAGGGTAAAAAGCAGACGCTAACTTATATTTACGCGCCTCGTTTCACCTAATGAGGTTCAAAACGTCTAAAACAACAATTTTTTGCTGAGTAAAAATATTTGTTTTTGGTGTAATATTGTTTCTTAGCTGACGTGACAGCTTTGAAAACGTTTCTGATGTGTGTTAATGGCCTAGATAATATATCAAGGTTTAGAAAAATATCATAAAAATAATTGTTAGTCAATGGTTAGTCAGAAATCAGAACTTTTGCGAATCTTGAGATCAAGCGTTGATCTCCATGTTATAGAGTCCTACTGAAAAATGGCCATATTGGATATCAAGATTAACTATACTCTACACAAAAGTTCCGACATCAGAGCTGAAAACTTTTGAATGGTGGATATCGGGATTAAGGCTTGATCCACTCTTTTTCTTAATCTCGAGATTAAATAATGCTTGTTCTCCTCTTGTTATTAATCTCCAGATTAATTAACCGATCGGGATTAAGGATATCCCATTCTAAAGTTTTCAGCTCCGATTACATAAAGAGCATTATGTATACACATATATATGTACTATGTACAAAACATTTCGGGGATTTGTTCATGTCAGACCCGAAATTCAAAAATAAGTTCAAAGCTCGAAGTTTCTCTAAAAATTCTCGAGTTAAAACGTTTAACACACGTTTACCTCTTACCCCTCATATTTTCCAAATACATTATCATTATAAACAACAAAACTTTTTTAAAGAATTTTTAATAGTTTTAAACATTTATTATTTAATTGTCTAAATATCTTTTTAATAGAACATTAACGTCAATATGATATGTAGTGCAGTATTTTAATTTAATTTGGTTATTTCTTATAAATTAACTAAAAATAATGATCAATTGCACTGAACAAGTTGTAATAAATTCAAAGAATCGGGGTTCGAGGTGTCGGGTTGAAAAATATCGGGATGAGGGGGGTCGGTGTTGAATTCTTCCTCCCTTAACCCCTCCAGCTCCTCTTCAATATCAGACTGATACCAGTCACTAGATTCATATTCCTACACCAAACCAAATATTAAATCTTGCACCAAACCAAATGTAACCAAATATCTAACCAACTGCACCAGACCAATATTAAATTCTGCACCATACCCAATATCAAATCAGCTGTACCAAACCAAATATCAAATCAGCTGTACCAAACCAAATATTAAATCAGCTGCACCAACCAAAATCTGCTGCACCAAACCAAATCAAATCTTTAATCTTAAACAAATTCTTCTGAATTTTCATTTTTAAGAAATCATCAAATTCATGCCATGAATTAATTTATAATTTTTAAAAATATGAAATGTTTTCTTTCAATAAAAAATCAATTTAATTTTGATCAGAATCAATCAATCAAGCTTTTCAAAATAATTAAGGAAAATATTTTAATAAAATTTTGTTTATTCTACGTTACAAGTTAAATATGTTCAACAACCCCGCCCCCCCGCCCCCGGTATTTCCCCCATGATCAATATAAAAGAAATATATTTTGAGTATGAAAACACTTAAATGGCCAGACTGGAGCCGGTAGAAAGCAGAGATAAATTTAAACTTCAAGAGATATATCAATATGAGAAGAGATTTATACTCAAAAACAGAGATAAACATTTTATAAGAATAAAGATTTAGAATTTTGAAGAAACAGTAGACATCAGAAAACACCTCTGTTAAAAAGTTTTTTTCCTTCAGATATGGATAAAGACACGAATAAAAGAATTTATATTAAAGCTTGTAATGAAGTTAAGACAAAATTATAATGATCAATTCGAATTTCTTCGAAGGTTTAAAACTCTGGGCAGTTTCGGCCATTTTTGGTAGAAATATTTTGAATTTTTTAAATTCCTAAAAGGTTGCGTAATTTTTGCTTCATGAGACAGATAGGGCTTCTGGACAAATAGGCTTGAGGGATTTAGGCATTCAGGCATATGTTTAGATAAGGATAAAACGGTGAACTTTTAAACTGAAGAAATTAATACATAGATTCAGCTTTCAGTAAAGAAATACTTAAAGGAACTGCAAGGTTGATTTCAAGTAACCCTCCATATAAAGATGGCAATGCCCGGTTTCAAGCGGTACCATTAAAAGCGTTGTCTGATCAAGTATGAATTAGATATCTATGTTTCTGATTTTGTAAACTAATTATTTTTAATTGTTATTTCTTAACAAAGGGAATTGCGCATTTCTACTGAATGAAAACATACAGGAATGATCAGATTTATCTTCCACATTATTTATCAGATAAATGTTTCTAGGGTACCGTTGTGAATCAGGCATTGCCATATTTCCATGGATGGTGATTGAAATCATGATAACAGTTACTTTAAAGCAGAAAACATTGGAAGAGAAAGAATGATAGATAAAGATAAGAACTAAAAAGGGAAAATAGAAGAATTTAAAATCAACGAAGTAAAGAAATACAAATCTGAAAGTTATATAAAAGGACAAAGAAAGTATCCGCAATGTGGAGAAATATCTTTTTTCGACTTGTAAGCTTGGAAGTTTAAATTTTGATCAAATATATCTCTAAAGTTAATTTTCTATATTGACTAATTTTCTGATTTTTTATGTCTTTATTGTTAAAGAAGTTTTTTGTCGTCTCAATTAGTTGAATTTATTATTTTATCTGTTCATTAGTGCCTTAATTATCTTATTTTTGTCAAAAAACGCGATTTTTATTTATTATCAAATAAAAAAATCGGCCTTGTCAAAAATGCGCTTACACAAAATTAAATTTTATCTCTGAGATTGTTCAGGTAAACATCCATGGAAGAACTGATCATATGTTTATGTAAATACAGTTTAATCAATGAGAACCTTTGTATAGAAGTAGGACATGGTAACAGAACTCCTATAGCAATGCATTTGCAAAAGAAATAAACATTGTCAGGAGAAGGGGGGGGGGGGTGAACTAGATTTAATGTTTATCCAGTCGTTTTAGATATTTTACATCTTACATAATGTTTACATCACGACAATGATTTACACACTTAATTCTTTAACTTTTCGAATTCTATAGATTAGACATTTTTCATTTTTTATGTTGCAATTGTATACAAATTAACAGCTATGTTCAAAATATTATAACGTTAATTTTGGCCTTATTTATTGGTTCTAAATCATGTATCATATTTTCAAAAACTCCCCCTCCCCCCCTCCCTACTGTTCTTACCATTCTAACAGTTCATATTTATCTTTCAAATAAAATTAATAATTTTTGAGTAAATATTTAAAATATTTTTGATATTTGTTTTCATTGCATGAGTCAATCCATGCTTTGTATGAATACATTAAAGATCTGCAAATGTATAATGTATAATGCATTTGGAAAAAAGGGGTTTCTAAAATGAATGCTTTGTTTATTTGTTAATAAAAAGCAACCAAATTAGAGAAAAGGAAAAGCATGTTTAAAAGTTCACCATTGTTTATAAAGTGGTAGCGGCGAAATTAGGAAAACTTTACTATAAAATTAATTTTGTCGCAACCCTTTAGAAGCATGCAGAAATGTTTTTAAAAAAGCTAAATGTAAATATTTACAGTAAACTGCACAGAATTTTAAAGTTTCGGCCATTTTAAATCAAACTTGTATTCCTACCTTAGCTGAATCCTTTAGTTGGTGCATAGCTGGATGCTGCATATTTTTACCACTTGCGGATTTTGTTGCCTAAAAAAATAGCATTATTTCAAAGAACTTTGAAAAAAATACCTTGTGTAAAAATTAATAATTGATAATAATTATTACCTGCATCAAATCTGCAAGAGCAGAGGTTACATCCTTCACTGCATTTATAAGCATAACCTAAATAAATATTGTAGATTTAGAATAATTTTAAATAATAATAATAATAATAAAGATTTTAACAAAGCTTGATTGAAGACGATATCAGATAAGACGACATTCAAAATGATGGTGTGAGAAATGACGACAGTTGGAAATTTTCTTTTTGGAAGACGACTTTTTTACCTGAGCTTCCTGGTTTGGTGAGCCTAAGCTTGCTGCTCCTGCCTTTACTACATCCGAGAGTTGAACAATCGTTGAAACAGCGTTCTGTGCAGCTACGGCCAGCTGCTCCTGAAAAATATGTACCGTCGATATTCATCAAATATAATAATGGAGAACATTTTCAATTTTTAGATTAAAAAGTAGCTTTTTGTTTTTGCTGATATCTTAAAAGGTAAACAAGTACAAACAACGTGTAACTTTTGCTGATAAAAGATGATTTTATTATAAATATAATTATAATCGAAATTGAAAGTAGTTTTCATTGTATTGAAATATATGACGACGACTGTACCTGGGAAGAGGCTGCTCCAGCTACTAAAGTTTTAGTATCTTCAACCAGAGCTTTTGCTGTTTTCAGGATATTTTCCCGATGTCCTGGAGTAATAAAAACCTTTTATCAATCCCAGATCAAAACAAGATAGCTTTAATTATTTCTGATCCATGCTGGGGCTTTTTTAGTGGTGCAACAAAATTAGGTCTGAAAATGCCCCCCCCCCCCCCAATCCAAATATTAAAGAAAAAATGTCTTTTTTCAAAAAAGGTCCTCTTTTATATATTCAGATATTCAGATATACATAACGATTAAGTATCGATGATTACAAGTCGTCTTTTCTCATTCTAAAATTTATGGAAAGTTTTAAAATTGTCATATTTATTTGAATCCACCAAGTTCTTATTTATTATATATAACTATGCCTATTGCCTAGCTATTATATATCATACTAGCTTGGGAACCGAGAGTTGCCAAAGGTCGTAAATAACGATTTTAGCTATTTTTCCCTATACAAGTGGACACACTAAACTTAAAATCTCAAAAACAAACTTTAATCATTTTCGTGGTTCTTCCGAGTTCCCCAATAAAAATTGGAGGCAAATTGGTTTGGGCATTCCTGAGTTATGATCAGACATGAAAAAAGTTGGTACTCAGGGGTGGCAACAGTGTGTTAGCCCTCTCTAACCTTTCCTTTTCCCCCTAGTAGTTAAAATGGATTCCCATTCGAGCAAAATCCCCCCCATGTTGAAACTCTAGTTGCGCCCTTAATTTGTAAATGAGTTGTGTATACTGTATATGGTGTAGTGTAAGTCTTGAAGTTCCCTAAATATGTATGCAATGCATAACGTGCAGAAAACAAGCATATCAAACCAAGGGTTGTGCAAAATGTGAGTTCAAGTGAGACCCGGAAAACATGAATAGAATAAAGATGGATGTTCTTCCTCAAATAGTTGATCTTTCTTCTTTTTATTTTCTAAAATTTATCGTTAAACTTTATTTTTTTATAGACCTTTTAATCCATTTCTTTAAAAATATCCTATATTTACAATTTCCAATGCTTTTGTAATATGATATGAAAGTGTCATAAAAACAGACACAACGTCTTTTCAATGTGTTTGATATACAAAATGTGAATTCTTAAATATTGTTAGGATAAATAAAAAACATTCATACACACTGATTAATAAAGTGAGTCTTGAAAACTGATAAGATCAAGGGTTGCACTCAATATTTACCATGAAAAATGGTTGTCATAGTCGCGTGAGAATCTAAACATTGCAATGTTGAAAAGAATGATGATTAAAAACATAAACATTCCTAAACTCACCGGCAAATATTTCATCGTCATTTTCAGCGTTCAGAGACCCGGCGGTTGCAAACATAATGGTTGTATCCAGGTCTCCCAGGATTCCAGAAACCGTGTTTGCCGCATTTTCAAGCGCATGGGTACCACGTGCAATAGCATTCAACGAGGATAATACATTAGCGCATTTTTCTCCAACATGGCGGGCGCTGTCTGACACATCACGCAAAACATATGTGTCATTGGGGCTCAGCTGTACAGATCCTGCTGCCTTAACAAGCTCGATGGTGACCTGTCCTAGGTCTTGGACGGAGGATTTAATCCTTTCTGCGAGATCATTACTCTCGGTGTTCTGAATTGCTCCCCTGGAGTCGACAGCAAGGCTGGTGTAGTGAGTGGAGATGTGTGTGGCCAGGTTTCCTAGTTCTGCTGGATTAGAAGAGGATTTGATCACAATATCCTGAGCAGTTTTAGCAATCTCCTTGGTAGAACTCATCATCCTAGTCTGGAAGGAAACCAGCCCTTCATCATTATCATTCCTGCTCCCGGGCCTGTAATCATCTACTTGGATAATAGCTTCAGAAATACAACTTACAATACTTGAAACCTCTCCTATGCTTGGTCCTAGTCTCTCAATTGTTGATCTCATCTCCTGGAGTGAAGATGCAACGGCATCGCTGCATTCATCAATATCTCCATGAACATGAGTGGATCTAGGGTTCCCTCCACTCTCCTTGGAGGCAGAGAGCAATTGCTGGGCACATTCAACTACAGTCTTTGTCTGATCTAGGAGAAGGACTTGTTGCTTTGAGCTGGTCATATTGCTGGCAGTTCCAATTGCATTTGAAACAAGTGGTTCAAAGTAGGACATGAAACTGGTTACAGAGTGACCTAACCTTTCCGCCTCATTCTTGGATGCTTCTCGAATTTCAATTAGTTTTTCTGAGATCTGAATCGCAGAGTTGTTCATTTGTTCTGAGAATTGTTTCACATCCTTGTTCCTACGTGGGGGCAGGTTCTGGTTCATGGCCCCAATTGATGCATTGTCCAATTCTCGAATGTAAATTGTTAGTTTTTCAATGGCGTCCTGGCATTCATTTTGTCCTGGAGCATTTTCCCTTATTGATGAAACTAATTTTTTGATGGAGTCTGAAACTGATTTGCTACTGTTTGCAAGAGCCTGCCAGGTGGGAGGATCTTTCGGGTTGACGGCCAGAGATTTGGCAGACTGGATCATACCAACAGAACCTTGAATGATTTGTTTTCCTGACTCTAATATTGGTCTTTGTGCCTCTCTACCCTGGGCTGATATCTTGGCAGGGACAGATGCAAACTCAGGGGAGCTCGCAAACTGGGTCAGATTCTCAACAGCTTCTATCAGGGGTCTGGTAGAGTTGGCGGTGGCCTGCCTGTTCTCTTCAGTATAGTTCCCGTCCAACTTCTTGATTTCTTTCACCAGAATTGCGGTTGCATTTGCAACATCCTTGGCGGACTGAACAAAGTGTCGCTTTGCAACTGGGTTATTAGTTTTTGAAGATGCAATTCTACAAGTGTTGCAAAGAGAGCTGGTATGCTTAGCAATTACAGTTGCGGCTGAGAGAATTTGTTGTTGTGTGCTGTTGCGATTAGTTAATGTTGTGCATGCAGCTTTAATATCCTGAGATGCTCGCATAAACTGTGATTGATCTAAGAGCCCTAATCTTCCAGCAATGGAGGATGGGTCAGATAACCCAACAAGATAGGTGGCCTGGGATGCTGCTTTTATCAATCCAACAATGGCTTCTGAAACATCCTTTACTGCCACGCCAAATTGTTCATGCTCACTCTTCTTTGCATGGTTTGCAATTCCGGTCATACCATCTCCCAGAGCCTTTGAGTTCTGCATGACATTCTCCAGACACTCATGATAGGAATCATCAGTAACAGGCTCAGAGGGGGTCTCTAGCATATGCTTTGCAGACTGTATGGCTCTTATGGCACTGTCACACTCATTTTGCCCAGGGGCAGCTGATGTGTAAACATTGATAAGATCATTGATCGCTTCTGTAACACCTCTGGCAGCTGTTGAGAGGTTGTTCTTTGCATTAGGAGCACTTGGGTCTGCTGCTACATTCTTGGCTGAGGACAGGAAGCTTGTGGACATAGAGGTTACATTCATCATAGTCGACACCATGTGGGTCTTTGTCTCATGTATAGAGGTTTGGCCTGCCATGTCCATGGAATACTCCATCATGTCTCCAAGTACCTGACCAAACTGACGAGTAGTGTTGGCTAGCTCTGCTGGAACAGGAGCTGAGATAACAACATCAGATGTGACATCATTCAGTCGATCAGCAGCTTGGGTTAACTGACTTTGAAGCTCTCCATAGGGTTTACCAGATACATGGAACTGGTTGGAACTGATCTGTGAGTTCAGATTGTTGATGTGAGAAATAGTTTCTTCAACCTCTTGCTGTCCTGGCAGACATCGCATAGTGTTGTTTAAAGCTACAGACACATCCTTTCCGGCAATAGCTAACATCTGGGACTTACCAGGATCTGACGGATTGCTCATGGCCCGTTGAGCCTCAAGAACCAGTCTAGCTGATTTTGCCATGACAAGCTGTGCCTGATCTATTACCCGGTTTTGGGTGTTTTTATCCTGGGAAGTAGCAGCTACACCACGTACAGCAGCTGTAAAATCTCTAAGAGCATTAGCTGTATCCCTGGCAGCTCTGTTTGTAATATCCCTGTTACCCTGGGAAGCAGCTGTGAGAAGCTGTGCAACTGTTGAACTGACAACTCTACTAGCTGTGTTTAGCTGAATTGTGGCGTGATCTGCAGTTTCTCCAGGCATAGGTTTAAGCTGGAATCCATGAGCGGCAGCTCTAAACTCTTCAAGCTCCGACTCCAAGGAGTTGATAAGATCTGCAGATGCTTCTATCTCCAAGGAACCACAGGCGGACAGTGCCTTTGTAATGGCGGATTTCAGCTCCCTCAGAGCGTTTTCCATCTGCCGGGCGGAGTTTTGAAGCTGAATAGCGGCGGACTGGTTGTCCACAGTTGGCATAGCAGATTTTGTAGATCTGGTCAATCTAAATACAATATACATTATACATGATTAGAATACAGAGACCGGGGGACATAGAGACTGATAACACTAATCAGATATCTGGTTTTTATTACCGTCCTCCAATCTGTCATTCCTATCTCTTACCTTGATCCTGGATCCAACCCGGAGAACATCTCTTACCTTGATCCTGGATCCAACCCGGAGAACATCTCTTACCTTGATCCTGGATCTAGGAACCTCTCAGCATTGTTAATAAGGTTCAACTGGGCCATGGCGGAGCTCGGGTTCTGCATACTGTACTTGACACCCTCAACCAACTTCGGAATAACATCAGCAACAGCTTTACAGCTCTCCATCAGCTCATCCTGACTATTGTGGCTGGTGTTGTGCTGACCAGCGCCCTGGCTAGCTGCTATACACTGTGTAGCTGTAGCTGCAGCATGCTTGGCGCTGTTTTCAAGACGTTTCAACATTTTTCGCTTAATTGTAGTTCCCACAGCTTCTGTTGTTGTGACTCGGAGCTGCTCAGCTGCACGTTTAAGAGCCTCCTGGCTGTTTTCGTTGCCAGGATTGCTGGCGCATTTCTTGGCAGCTTCCACCATATCAGCTGTGGCATCAGCCAATGCCTTGGCAGCAGACAACAGACGTTTCTGCAAAAGAAGAAGTTATTAGACAGTGAAATATAAGTTTGTAAATAATCATGGTAGCAATGTTAGCCCTTTCCTTTTTCATAAAATTGGAAATAAAACAACCTTTCAAAAATATGCAAAAGGAATTGAGTCTTTGCAAAAAAAACAAATTTTCTAACCCGAATACCTTTTCAACCTGATGGTATTAACCTTTGATAAATTTAGATTATTTGAACTTATAGTTTGAAATATCTAAGGACTACGACATTTGGTTGAAAACATATATGGGATTAGAAAATCAGAGTTTGTGGCAAAGACTTAATTCCCTTGTTAGAACTTTGTTGTTAACAAATAGAAAAATTGGGTTATCACTGTAGACGCCTAAATCGACCGAGAATGGTTAAATACTTGGTTAAAATTAGTTCATTCAATCTGGTGGGAAGATTCAAGGATAACAAAACAAGGAAAGATTTTCATAAAAATCCTTGTTTCTAAAATCCTTGAAATGTAGAGGATAAAGAAGAGAATTATATAAAGTTTTCATAAAAAGAACTAGGTCTGGAGTAGTCTAGAGGTCTAGGAGTATATACAGGAGAGAGATGAGGATTCTCCCATTCATGAAGTTCTGGAATCCAAACCTAAATATCCGGCCTTTTTCTAGCAGAAATAAAAAATATCCTTCCTCCCCCCCCCCCCATAATAAAGATATTTTAAGAATATTGATTTAATATTTTAATCAATTGTAATTGCTAAAAATGGACAGTGGCGGAACCCAAATTTCCAATTATCTAAATCATGAAAAATATTAATAGAAATCTCTCCAGCTTGCTGGACTAAATAAATTTACATTTAATATTAGTAAATAATCTAAATATTGTTTTAATCTTTTAGTCAGTTATTTGATGGTGTGGGAAAAATTCGAGGGCTAACATTGGTGCTAAAACTAAACAATACAGTGGCAACCAGAAAACTCTGGAATGATTATTGTCTTAGTTCTTTCTTTTAATTCTGAATTCTGTTTAAAATATCTAAAGTCTAGGACATTGGATATAGGGATTTATAGAAAATCAGAGTTTGTGGCAAAGACTCAATTTTATTGCAATGGTTATAAGTGATATATTTTTGAAAAAAAACTGTCTATCCTATTCTCTAAATTTTTATTGATTGTATAATTGTATAGAATTGATTTTAAAAAAATCTAAATGTACGGTAAATAATACTATCAGACCTCAGTGTCATATTCAAACTTTAATCCCATCAATTAAACATTACTTTGAATGTTGACAAATAAAGTTGAACATGAACACGAGATGAGAACTTTTAAATAGACGTAATCAGTTAAACTCATGACAACTCGTCGGCAGATTAACCTATCTTTGATTGGTCAAAACTTGACTAAGAATCTCTCTGTTCAAGGAGAGAATGTGTTTAACTCATTCCATCCAATCAAAAGTTATCACCTTTAGCGTCTGATAGATTTTTGAAATAAAAGTTTATAAATAGATTTAACCAGTGCTTTAAAGGAAACCTAAACGATAAGGGTAACTAGAAATTGCGTATTCAGTCCCTTTAACCAAGGAATGATTCCTACCTGAAGATCGGAATCTGATTGGCTCTCTGCCTCCCCCTTGATCGCCTGGATTAACTCTGCAGTAGCTTGAGCTAATATTCTAAAATCAAAAAGTTATTATTAAAAATAGAACGAAAATTGTGATTTTTTCAAGCAAACTAAATATTTTCTAGCTGTTTTAATATTAAAAAATAGTTACCTGGCTTGTCTGACCATTTCCCCCGAATCATTGCTAGCGATGAGATCTCCCGAGGCGATCATGATTGACTCCATGATGTCGGGGATCTTGTCAGGACCCCCGTCCTTCACGTGGTTCAACAGCTCGTGAAGTGCCTTGGTTACATCAGTAGCAGCTCCACCAAGCTCAATCAAGCTTCCATCATCCCTGGGATAAAAATTAATTAAAAACAGTTTTTTTAGGAATCTCAGACAGTTAAAAATTTTAAAAGATATTCTAATTATATAGAGCCTTCGATGTACGTTTAATCCAAATTGAAAAATTGTATTCTAAAATTTTCTAAAAACTGGGGTTGTACCTGCAGACATCTCTACAGGTTGACACGCAGCCTTCAACTGATTTTGCCACGTCACGGGCAGCCTCTATCAGCTGATCCTGGCATAGAGGATCAGAGATAGTTGGAGCTACAACCTGAAAAGAAAAACTAAAATAGTTTTTTTTCAAAAAATATGATTACGCCCCTAAACCCCAAATTTGTCTTACTCTGTATCTTTGCAACCTGAAGTTGGAAACCTTTGATATTTTAAACTTTGATTGTGTGAACTTTAAATGCAGCGGAATTCAGAGTTAGAATTGTCTAAGGGTACATCATTGCAGAAATATGGGGATTAGAAAATTAAAGTTTGAGAGGAGTTATCAGTTTCTTTCTGTAACGTTTTATCCAAAGAGAATAGAATATATATTAGAGGGAAATTTAGACAATCTCTCGGTATGAATTTTTTCAGTCCCTTTTAGTCTGAAAGAGAGTTCAAAGTGTACAAATCATGTAAATGTTCACAAATTATACGCAGTAGAGTACATTAATACAGTATGTTCCCTAGACTATCCATTTCAATGTCGATTTTTTTAAAGCTGTTAAATAAACTTTATAAAATGAATTAGGTGAATAAAAAACATCAATTGACTTATAGTTATAACTGAAAATCATCATTTGTAAAGTGAAAGGCATAGAGTCTATGTGAAATAATCATTGGTCAATTCTGAAACCAGCCTATTTCATAATTTGGTTTTCTTTTAATGTTAATTTTAGATTTTATATAAAATGATGTTCCAGGGCCCAAAAGGTTATATATAGCACAAATATGTGAAGTACACCTGCAGTATGGAAACAGTACAACAAAAGGCCGTTTTACACTTTTTTCTAGTAAATTCCACTCTAACATATATTCTATTCTCTTTGGTTTTATCCCCAAACTTCAAACTTAGCGTGATACATTTCGGAACTAGGAATGTGTAATGGATCTGAATTTACTTTGAGCATGGGATGCAACCTCGCGTGCTCAATTTCGTTTAAGAATAACAACTAATAACAACTTGACTTGTGTCCTATGTCTAGTTCTACAATAGTTCACAGTAGAATTCTACTTAGAACCCACCCATTCAATTCACCTAGCAGACATATATGGAAGTAGAACATTAGAATGACATTTTTTATCCCATATTGTAAACTGCAAGATTAAAGGGACTGTTCACGTCGTAAGAAGAAATTCTCGTTTTTCTATATTAAAGAGATAAAATCTGTCAATTTTCTTTCTAGTCACTGTTGCATTAATCCTCCGTTAAATTTAAAATTGTAATTTTTTGGTCGAAAACAACAATAATATCCTAAAATATTTTGCTCAGAGAAAGGTTTCTAGGTACCCCTTTGAATTAAATATAGAAAAAGAAGCACTTAATATAATCGCGACAGCTCCTTAACCAGCTTGTATTGGCATCAGTTTGTGTTTTGCAAAGAAGTGCAATAAGAGACTTATTTTTTTCTATTTATATGATATTACTCACCTTAGCACAGGCGACCAGCTGGCTTGTAGCTAGCGCACACTGAGTAGCGGCGCCAATTACCTAAAGAAAAAAGTTCTGAATGATAAAAATAGATAATCAAATGGAAATTTTTACATAATTTAACATTACAGACTTTGTATCTTTATAACGCCTCCAGTTTCTAATCTAATATTTACCCTGTTCTGTGTATACTGGTCCTCACACTTGCTCGCCACATTTTTCGCCTTTAAGACGAGAGCTGCAGTATTGTTCGCGACGGTTTTCGCCAGACCTAACAGTAGATCCTGTCGCTCCCTGATCAAATAAATCAATTAGGGAATAATTCAATCAAATATAAATTAATTAGAGAATAATTCAATCAAATATAAATCAATTAGAGAATAATTCAATCAAATAAACCAATTAGAGAATAATTCAATCAAATAAACCAATTAGAGAATAATTCAATCAAATAAACCAATTAGAGAATAATTCAATCAAAGGAATTGAGTTTTTGCCAGAAACTTTGATTTTCTAATACTTACATCTTTGCAACTTGATATTTCAAACTATAATTCCTGTTAGATCGAATAATTCAAGTTTGAAATATGTGTGAAGCACACCAGGTAGCAAAGATATAAGGATTATAAAATTGAGTTTGTTGCAAAGACTCAATTCACATGTCCGGTTTCGTCAATTTCCATTCTTTTTCATTAAAACAGATAAATGTTTTTCAAAATATAAATAACATGATTTCCCTGGTTTGAAAAACGAGTTTTAATTCTCATGTTTTGTGTGACACTCTGTATACGAGTTTTAAATGTTTTGTGTTCAATGAAACTAAATCCAAGCTGTAGGGTTCTCTTCAATAAATTTGTCTTCTTGATAATTATAATTATTTGAAGTTTATTAATTATATAATGTTAAGATCGTGTTTGACAAGGGGCAGGGTCTAGTTCAAGGCAGCTGGGTTGCCTATCTGCATGACTGCCTTTATGTCTGTTTTAATCCTAGAAGAATGGTTTAGAATGGTTGGGATAAGCCAGACCTCGTGAGATATGGATCTCAAGCTTCTTAAACTAGAGATGGGAGGAGGGGAGAGGGAGGGGTGAAGGGGGATTAAGGGAGTGTGGAGGTAGTAAGTGGGGGAGGGGGGATGGGGAATAAACTGGTATTTGGAAGGGAATGATAGAAGGGTTAGAAATGGAGAATTGGAAAGTTTGACCGGGGTCTCAACCCCCTAATTACAGGGTGAAAAAAATACCTGTCAACGACCTCCTCCTCTCCTATTGTGTAGAGCACCCTGTAACTCGCTTCTCCAACTCGGCTCGCGGCACTCAGCAAGGTTTGACGAGGCTAAAAATAATATTATAAAACAAAAATTTCAAATTTTCGGATTGGGAATGGGGTAACTAGGGTGGATATTATCTAAAAGAGGGGGGTTGGGAAGGGGGTAACTAGGGTGGATATTATCTAAAAGAGGGGGGTTGGGAAGGGGGTAACTAGGGTGGATATTATCTAAAAGAGGGGGGTTGGGAAGGGGGTAACTAGGGTGGATATTATCTAAAAGAGGGGGGTTGGGAAGGGGGTAACTAGGGTGGATATTATCTAAAAGAGGGGGGTTGGGAAGGGGGTAACTAGGGTGGATATTATCTAANAGACATTCACCAAAGGGGAAAGTGGATGAAGGGACAGAAAATAGATTCAAATAGGAAACAACAAAAGAACATTTATTGGAAAAAATTAGAGAATTCATAAAAAAAGGAAGAAAAAAGAAATGAGAGCCAAAGTGTAAAAATTGAAATAGTAACTATTAAAAACTCGGATTAAAAGTTTTTTTGTTCATTATAGCTTTTAACGTTAAATGGAAATGGTTTGCAGTATTTTGGGAAATTCGATAAGCAAGTAATGCAGAATTGAAGGCCATTTCCTGAAAAACGAAATAAGGTTAAATAAATACCTCGTTTGTCTGCGGCTCTGCGGCTCGGAGCATCTCTGAGAATGCCCCGCACAGGCTTCTTGCGGCTCCCATGAGGTCATCCCCCTCGGTTCCTTTGTCGTCCATCAATGCTGCCAACATCTTCACCTCCCTAGGGCAGATCAGGTATGATAAAAAGATCCGGACAGATATAAGTATTTTGCACTTATTTTTAAGATCGGGTCGACTTTGAGGTTTTGTCACGCTTGGCCTTTGAATTTTACATACTTTGTCATCTTTGTTATTTATACCTTTTTGTCGTAAATTTAAGAAAACAAACACCTTTGTTTTTAATTTTAGTTTCTATGGAGTAATTGGCAAATACTGATAAATTTTTGTGCAAGAAAATATGCACATTTTGTTTGACTTGTGCTAACACCACTGCAGTTTTTATTTTAAACATTAATTTATCAAATACAGTTTTGATTAATTTATTTTGGGCCCCTATATTAATTCAAAGGTTTACGTTTTGTAAAGAGCAAACAGTTAATTAACTTTAAAATCATAATATGCTTTGTAAAAACCTGCCAAAATAGATATTTTTTAAGCTTATTCTTAGCTTTTAAAAATACTAAATTAAGCTTGACTAACTCGAATCTCTACCCAGCCAATGATCATACCCGCGGTGTATTGTTTACCTGGCCATGTCAGGTAGATTGGTAGATATTGTGTTGACCGCTGCGCCCACAGCATTGTGGTCAGTCCGGTCACCTTGACCGGTCAATGTAACCTGACAAATATAAAAAAGTATTAAAGACACCAAAAAGTTGTTCGTACATATAATTACATACAAAGTTGAATATTAAAAATAAATAATTGTATTTTAATATTGTCTAATATTAAAAAAAGTAAAATTACCATCTGCGCTGTTGCCGCGTTCATTGCTGAAACTTGTGAGTGTACAGCCTGCTGATTAGTGTTCCATTGGGTCTCCTTCCATCTACAAATTGATTAAAGGTGTTTAAACTAGATAAAACCAACAATAATAATAATAATAATAATAATAATATTGATAATAATAAAAATGATAATAATAATAATAATAATAATAATAATATCCCTAATAATAATAATAATAATAATAATAATAATAATAATAATAATAATAATAATAATAATAATAATAATAATAATAATAATAATAATAATAATAATAATAATAATAATAATAATAATAATAATAATAATAATAATAATAATAATAATAATAATAATAATAATAATAATAATAATAATAATAATAATAATAATAATAATAATAATAATAATAATAATAATAATAATAATAATAATAATAATAATAATAATAATAATAATAATAATAATAATAATAATAATAATAATAATAATAATAATAATAATAATAATAATAATAATAATAATAATAATAATAATAATAATAATAATAATNATAGATATATAGATAGATAGATAGATAGATAGATAGATAGATATATAGATAGATAGATAGATAGAATAGAAACATTGATATTAGATAGATTACCTTCTGTAGTTTGAACCGAATAGTATTGATCTTGATAATCGCCGAAATCCAGCGTGAAAACATTTGGTGCCGCAGCCCATCGCCGAACCGTCGTCAACGGCCATGTCTTCAAAATCGTCTTCGTCTTTTCATCCAACCTGAAGAAGAAATATATGACTCTAGTTGTTGTTTCTTTAAATTTCAGAATTAAATCCAACGTACCTTAAAACACTGTCTTTAGTGACACCTAGCAGCCTGGGAACCAACTTCGCTCTGCCCTTTTGTTTTTCCTAAAATGAAAAAAAAAATAATCATTATTATTTTAATACTTCTGCACATTTTAAACTTTTATTAGTGAACATTTTTAGTAATATATTGGAAACGCTCATCTCCTCTTTTTGTCTCATAACTCTTCGAATTTGTGAGATATGTAAAAAATTTAATTTGCGGGGATATCCTTCCCTTTATCAGGGCTATAAAACAACCAGAGGAATTCAACACAAACTGAGGGGAATATTCACCAGATATTCACCAGACATTCACCAGATATTCACCAGATATTCACCAGATATTCACCAGATATTCACCAGACATTCACCAGATATTCACCAGATATTCACCAGACATTCACCAGATATTCACCAGACATTCACCAGACATTCACCAGATATTCACCAGATATTCACCAGATATTCACCAGATATTCACCAGATATTCACCAGACATTCACCAGACATTCACCAGATATTTACCAGATATTCACCAGATATTCACCAGATATTCACCAGATATTTACCAGACATTCACCAGATATTCACTATTTTCTCATTATTCCAACTATCTAGATATTTTATTATCTAACTATCGTCTAGTGTCTATATATCTATCTATCTGTCCATATATCTATCTATCTGTCTATATATCTTTCTTTCTGTCTATATATCTATCTATCTGTCTATATCTATCTATCTGTCTATCTGTCTATCTGTCTATCTATCTATCTATCTATCTATCTATCTATCTATCTATCTATTTATCTATCTATCTATCTATCTATCTATCTATCTATCTATCTATCTATCTATCTAGTACTAGAAGTATCTATCCTCCCCCTTCTATACCCTTGCCAACACTTTATACAGAAGCCCAGTGATACCACTACACCAGGTTCCCTGCAACAAGGCCAGACAAACAAACTCTTTTCAGAAAACTTATTCTTTTAATGGGGGGGGGGGTTGAATGAACTACTTAGACTTAGTTGAACCACTTCGCTTCAACTAATGGGTTGAAAGCGTAATTATAAATGACCCTATATGCAAAGATACCGCTGTGAATCGGACAATGTCATCTATGTATGGAGACCCACTTGAAATTATGCTTACAGTCCCTTTAAGTCTTATCCCTACTCCCAGAGATACTAAAGATGAAGGAAATAGAAGAGAGTTTGAAAGAGAAAAGATGATCCATGTACTTCTCCCTAGTATATATATTCAACATTTGTGTGAACATTAGGAGACATCAGAACAATGTTAGTCCGGTAATAATAATAAACATCAATCAAACTAATCGATCCATCCCGATAGACCCTTCCATCCTACTTTATCATTATTTTCTACTAAAACCCTTTTATGTAGCCCAATATTTAAATGATATTGTTTCTACATCTTACATTCAGAAAAGCTATTACGTAAAATGAAATAATGCATTATTTCATTCATGTTATTAACTAGAACGGATATTGTTAAGGTTTGTTATGAACTAGAACAGATATTGTTAAGGTTTGTTACGTACTAAAACGGATATTGCTAAGGTTTGTTATGAACTAGAACGAATATTGTTAAGATTTGTTATAAACTAAAATGGATATTGCTAAGGTTTGTTATCAACGGATATTGCTAATATTTGTCGGTGTGAATATAATGTATTGTAAAGTAAGCGAATATGTTTAAATCGTGAGGTTTGTCTCCACTGTGAATTGAGA